TTACACAATCTGATCTGTAAACTCTTATCAGAAGAGTCCCACAAAATATCAACAAACTCAAAATGATTGACAGGATATCTGAATACCACTCCAAATAACTCTGGCAAGGACTACAGACAGTTCAACCATTTCATGTGTTTATTTAAAAGAACACTCAACAGTTGTCATATTATTACCCATTTTTCGATGACCCCCACTGTTTTGCCCTCACAGACAAAGAGTCCGTCCATCTTTGTGTCTGGTGCCGTGGTGTTGGCATGAGTGTGGTGACTTCATGCTCTGGTACACGACTGATGCCCCCTTTATTGCAGACATGCCTCAGGGCAGGACAGAGGGGGTAAGAGGGTGGGGCAGGGCAGCGAGGGTAAGAGGGAGGGGCAAGAGGGAGGGGTCATCATCGACTGTATGTCCTCAGTGACCCCACTTCCTCTTCTGTCTTTATGATGTTTTTGCTGATGATTAATTTCAAGATTAATCATTAGGTTATACATTTGTTCCTGGTTTTACCCCCCTGATTCAGTCCTGGTTTCATTTATTCCTTGATTTTGTCCTGGTTTAGTCCTGGTTTGGTCCTCATTCAATCTCAGTGTAGACTTGATTCAGTTCCTGCTTTAATCCTGATTTCATTCTTGATTAGTCCTGGTCTAGTCCCGTGTTTGGTCCTGGTTTAGCCTCTCTTTTAGTCCTGCTTTAGTCACTGACTTAGACCTGATTTAGATTGGGTTTTGTCCTCATTTAGTCCTGGTTTAGTACATGAATTACTGCAGTACTTAGTTGGTTCTTGGGTTAGAAAGTCACAAACTCCCACATCCCCACAGACTAGTGTCCACATTAACATAAGCAGTGTACATTCCCAGTGTATTGACTCTCCTCTTCTTAAATGTGCAAGCCCAGCAGACCCCAAGTGCTTTCCTGTTAATTAGCATTTCTGCACTGCCCCCTGTGGTTCTTGTGTGCGATAGCAGGGCCGAGCCTCTTAAATGACCCTGTTCTTAGCGTAATGATTTTCCCTGTGCTAAGCTGTGATTACAGAGATCCTGGATGTGAGCGAGTGGGCGGAGACGAGTCGGAAATGAAGAGATGTGGAGAGGAGCCAGAACTATTCAAAACTGTCCTCTTCACTCCTTAGTGTGTCTTGTGAAATTTTAAAGGTGCACGTGTAACTTTGCTGGTAGTGGGTCCATCACCTGAGATTTTTTAAGGCTTTGCTTGTAATGTTCCACAATATGTCATTCAAGGCCCGGTAATGGAGTAAGAAAGCTTTTAGAAATATGTGTGTGCATTGGATAGAAATCTGTGCATATTTGGGAAATCCTTATGCGTTTGGCTGTAGTTGAGCATAAAATAAATATTCGTAAACTCTTGAATGAGTCAAGTCATACATAAAATGTATCGTGTGTATTTTATCCATCAGAATACGAATTGAAAAGTTACAACATCAAGAATTACAATCACGAAATGAAAATTTACGATTATGGTTTCTTCAGAATTCTGAATTTAGTCCTCCTTGTTCTGTCCTGGGATCAGTCCTGGTTTAGTCCTGGTTCAGTCCTGGGATCAGTCCTGGTTCAGTCCGTATGCAGCACAAAAGTCCGGCATCTCCATCAATGTTTCTTCTGTCTGTGAAGTGATGACATATTTTTTACAGTAAAGTTGCGTCTGTGAATCCATATAACTACTGAAGAAAACGTAATTGTAAATTTTCTTTTCGTGATTGTAATTCTTGATGTCATAACTTTTCAATTCGTATTCTGATGGACAAAATACACACAATACATTTTATGTATGACTGGACTCATTCAAGAGTTTACGAATATTTATTTTTATGCTCAGCTACAGCCAAATATGCACGGACTTCCCAAATATGCACTGATTTCCCATCCAGATTTCTATCCTATGCACACGGATATTTCTGAACGCTTTCTTACTCCATACCCTGTTCATTGTGTTTTTATGTATTTGAGCAAAATTTGTCTTGCCCCAGTACAGATAAGCATCTCACCGTAAAGCATTTTATTGTCCGAGATACAAGAAGTGTGTGTTAGCATACTAGTTGTTATTAATTTTCATTGAAATCCAGGAAGCCAGTGTTCTATGCATGCTCCAGGATAGGGCATGGACACAGCATTCTCCCATTAGAAACAATGTGTTTTCAAGTGTAAGAACACATGCATGATACAAATGTCATCTATATGAGTTTAATGTCATACTGCGGAACATCCCAAGCAAAAACATTACGGAGACAGAGAAGCAGGTAACAAACCCCCACCAGAAAACTGACATACTTTACCTTCAAGCAGAAAAAAACATGGCCAACTGTTGACATAGTTGTTGAGCTCGCCCTTGTAAACGATGTGAGTCGTGCTGTTTAAATCCCCCTGACCCACTGCTCCCTCTGCTCTGTGTCTGAGCACATCTGTGACAGCACATGTGCAACAGCCCTGCAACAGCCCTCCTGTCTGCCCCGCTCTGTGCCCCCTACTATGCCCCTCTGTGTGCCCCCCTCCTCGTGTTCACTGCAAAAACACAAGTTGCTGCTTTAAAGTGACTTGAATAATTTTTATTACTTTTATTCATGGGTTTAAGCTTCCAGTTATATGCAACATTTTGACGACTTTTTCTCATCCAATACTTAGATACTTTGCTGTCCCTGGGAGTGTGATGCTAACTGTGGGCTCTGCTTTTTCTACTTTTTCTACTCTGCATTTTTATTTGAACTGACTTAGCTGGATCTACAACAAGTGAGAGGATAGTTTTAAAACGTTTTTGTCAGTGTTTGCTCATGTGTGTATTGTGTCACTATGGTAACTACTGATCTTTCCGTCATACAGGTATATGTAGAACACCCCCAGCGTGATGTTACTGCAAAGTATCAATAGTTTATTTTAGAGTTATTTAGTTTATGTGTCACGATGTGCTCACTAGTTTCAGTGCAGTGCAGAATTACTGTTATTACTGTTACTCAAGGAATATGACGTTAGAAAACACGAGTGTAATGAAGTGCAATTTTATTTTTAAAAGTTACTCAAGTGAATATGACTAAGGCTTCTACCTACCACTGAAAATATGTGCGATTTAAATCAAGATAAACATTGTGCCTGGTCATTTTACCCTGAATAGAGTTTCAGTTTTATAGTGTGCGTGTGTGTGTGTGTATGTGTGTGTGATCACGGGTGGTACAAGGATGATCCCTGTGTGAAATATGGACAGACAGCTGCACAGATCCAGGGGGCTTGTGGTTCTTTCTACCCGATGACGAGGCCTCCCTCTGGGGCTCAGGGAGGGGAGAGCGCAGGGCTGCTCTGGTCCATCTGGACACGACACAAGAATGTTTCACTGTGACAAACTGACACTGATCCAATGACACTTGGCTATAGTTACAATCTTGGTTTTAAAAGCATTCATCAAAACAGGGTCTTCTGGAAATGGTCCCAAACTTTGCTCTGATCGCCGGGACACTGAATAATTATGTCTTCTTTAAAGACAATATGAAAAATTTTGGATGTAATAACCTCAAAGGAACTGTATGTAGCCTGTATTCTGTGTTTTAAAGAGTCCATATTACACTATTTTTCAGTGTATTTAATAATATTGTTTCCTCATCACAAACGTACCTGGAGTTGTGTTTTGTTTCATTCACGTGTTTGTCACACAAACCAGCATCTTTAGGTATAGTTCGTCTCTGTTCCACCTTGTGATGTCACGTGGTAATACAGGAAGTGCTTAACTTTAGTTTTTAAAATTCATACACCTTCACTAGAATAATTTGGATACTTCCTGCCCTTTCCAATATCTGAACAAAAGGTAAAAGGCAGGTGTTAAAACTGTTGCAAACTACAGCTTCATGACATCACAAGGGGGAACAGAGCATTTTGAGTTTTGGAGAAGTAGACAGACTAATAATAAAGGGCTACTCAAATGTGTGAATGAAACAAAAGACAACTCTGGGCATGTTTTTGAGGAGGTAACAACATCAGAACATGGCTTAAATCACACAAGAATCTGTTTTGCATAATAATTCAAAAAAATCTTACAATCCCGACTGAACCTGTGTCACCAAAGCTTTAAACTGCAGATAGAGGACACACACAAGTTTTTCTCTCGGTATTTCTCAGTTTATGGGCAGGGCATGTCTTTTGTGAAAGCTCAGAACCACCAGAATTCTGTCACTGAGCTGCATAAGCTGCACTAGCACTGATTCATGATGGCTGCAGGAGCTGGGGTTTAGGCAGTGACCATTCAGTTCAGAGGGAGGCATTTTAGGTTTAAACCAACTGGATGTCAGCATTGAAACTTCTGCTCAATAAAGGTTATATTTCACTTGATCATGTGCACCTCATATCTGGGAACACAGTTAGGTTTATGGAATTTAAAATCAAAGTCCTACATACAGTTGCATTATTATCAGTGGTACTTTCATCTAAATGAAATGTCTGGTAGTGTTTATGGTTACATTCCAATAAAGATGATGTTTTTAATGTATCACTTGTGAATGATTTTACACATTTTAGGTATTTCTAGCTGGTTTAAGACTTTGTTCACATATAGGTGCTTTAAGCAAGACACTGCAGCTTGATTGTGGTTTGATTCCTAGAGTGTGTGAGCTTTGAGTATTGCATGTTGGTTCAAGTTTTGGAGGCACAGGCTTATGAACTGATAAACTACTGATAAAATAGAAGGAGCACATTTCATGTTAGTACAGGTCTACACTACATGGTTAGCAGTTTTTATGTAGAATTCACACATAAAAGACCCACACACATTTTTGTTGAAAATAAAACACATAAACAGGGCCATGAACACTTGTATTGATCACAGGCTCCCTTTTGTTGTCTTAAAACTTATTTGACAGTGTTGGCTAATGTTGGCCTGTGTCTCCATGGTAACTTCTGCACATTCCTCTATAGATATACATGTAGAACACCCCCAGCGGGATCTCACTGCAAAGTATCAATTGAATATCTTCTAAATCCCCCTCTTTTTTTCTCTCTGTGTTGCAGGTTTAGGCGATGGGGGGATCCAAGAGTAAGTCTAAGGACGTGGGCCAGAGGACGCGCAGCCTGGATGGACCCCTCGGCTCTGGGGCGGGGGCGGGCGGACCCTCCCTGAGCACCACACAGACCTCCACAGTCCCCAACCGCAGCCCCACCATCGACGGAGGTCTGAACTCACAGCACCACGGTGGCACCCCAGAAATCAAGCTCTTCGGAGGGGTAGACACCAACAACATGACCTCCCCCAACCGGTGCACTATAGCAGGTGAGGGCAGGTTTAAAGGGGCAATGTGTAACTTTTCTGATGGAGGGGCTGGTACCTGCTTGATGCCATGGAGCTCTTTTTGCTTTGTCTGGAATGTTCAACAGCAGGGCAGGAAAGTTAACTATTTCAATTGGGACAAGCTGAGTTATGGGTCAGATCTGTGGAAAGGCATGCTCACTCACAGTAAGAATGCATGTTTTTCTTTTCTGCAAAAAAAAAAAAGAAAGAAAGAAAGAAATTATTTAATAAATGCAAGATAGATTTAATGGCATACCAAGAGACAATGCAACACAATTTCATCTCCATGGAGACAAACAGCTCAGCAACTAAGACCAGATTTTTCATCATAACAATGTAATGATTAATGCCATACTGTGGGGCCTTCCAGGCAAAGCAATTTCATCTTCATGGAGACAAGCAGGTGGCAAACCCCTTATCAGAAAAGTGTTATTAGAATTCATACTAACCAACATGAAGCCTTAAGATGTGATTCATTCATTCATTGTGGACATTCCTTCTTTTAAGTACATAATTTCATCTATTTCTTGCTGCCTGATTTCAGGAGGAGTGACAACATTTGTGGCTCTGTATGATTATGAGTCCAGGACAGCCTCAGACCTGTCCTTCAGAAAAGGAGAGCGGCTGCAGATCGTCAACAACATGTGAGAAAAAACTACACTTTCCCTGGACTGAGATTTTTCTCTTTCTCTGTATGTGAAGTGTCTATTTCTACTAGCACTGCATTAACTAAACTGTGATACCTGTGCCTCTTTTAGTGGTACACAGGAGTCTTTTGATCTGGTTTAGACCTGGGTTTTAGTTTTGGTTTAGCTCTGGTTTAATCCTGGTTTACTTCTCATGTTTTACCGCTGGATTTTATCTGTTGCCCTAGAGGTGGGCAATGTTGACAAAATGAACATTATCATATCAGACATAACACAGCAGAAATGTGTTAAAATGTATCTTTAAATGTATTAGTTGAAGTTTAAGACAAATGTGAAATAACTAAAATCACAGAAGTGCTAATTTAGTTTGAAACGTTTCTTTTTTAATAAGATCTTTTAGCAACATTTTCATGTAACAATGTATTCAATACTCAAATTTTGCTTAATTTCAATATAATACTTATTATACTATCAACATTTTGATAATCTGCCCACCTTTAATATAAATCATTAGTCATTTTGATTAATCATTGCACCCCTACTGTAAACTATTGCAAATCTTATCCCAGTCAATACAAATACAAAACTAAATTCAAAATGTAACTCTTGTGTCAAACTATATTTTCTATCTCAAAACATCAGATGGTTAATTTTGTCATAGAAATTATTGATAATGCCTTAAAATGTCACCCAGTCTCCTGTAGAGAGTAAGAGGTTAGATTTGATTGTTACCACTGTGTTGTTTTTGCTCTGGATCTATGGAGGTTCAGTGGAGCATGTGTCCCCCCAGTCCCTGACCTAGAAGGCACAGAGCAGAGCCTAGAGCAGCACAATAGTGGATTATAACAGCATCTGCCCCTAAGCCATAGAACAGGATCATTTCTGGGTCAGTCCTGTTCATACAGCCAAGAATACTCAACAATAAGACACCAGCCAGGAACCAGGGCATCTCACTATGTTTAATACTGGAGGGAGCCTTAGTCAATGTAAAAATGAAAATGTACCTTAGCTGTTAAATATTGTTGAATCAAAATTTCTATTCAAGAAAATTGTCAACTTGTTCATATTTTTATTTCAGCTAGTGTTGTCAAAAGCATTGAAAATCAGATGCTAATCAATATTGATTGATTCATAGATCAAATCATCATTTGAGCAAATATCAGTACTAAAAAAAGTCCCATTCACAGAACAGAAATGAACCTTTCCTGAATAGCTTTAGAATGATCTTGAGCTGTTTCAGAAGAAGTATAAGAGCACATAGACTAGTATATGCCTATTGGAGATAGCTCGGATTATAGACTGTGATGTATGCTGGGGCATTTTATCCAAAACAGCACTCCAATCAGAGAGTGAAGGAAGAGACATGAATGGATTTGAGGAGCTTTCTGTCCTTTCTTCTATCTTTTGTATCTGTCTGTCTGTCTGGTAATCTATCTTTTCATCTGATAATCTCTATCATACACACAGATTTAGATAGGTTTAAGGTAATGAACTGGAGCTACAGCAGTTAGTATCGAAGTAACAGCATTACCATGGACCCCAAAGGACCCCTGAGCTGCCTAAGAATGCCTGAGCTAAATAAACAGTTACTGAACTAACAGTTATACTAGGGAATTTACACCAACGCCCATGGACCATTATGGAACCAACCAGGACCACTGAGGGATTACACAGATATAAGACCACATGGAAATATAAAAGAAAGTACTACTACCATTTAATGTTGGAAATGGCACTCTATTTAATGTTTTATGTTATCATCGTGGTTTTGGAATCTGTGAATCTGAGTATCGAATATATTCGTTAGCATCAAAATCAGGTATGAAATTTTCGTGACCTTTTTATTTCAGGCTAAAATGTAATATTATCTTAAAATGTGTCACAAATTTGTTATAGCTTGTAGGAAGCCTTGATATACATATATATAGTACTTATTCTCTAAAAATGTGAGTTCCTCTTATTATTGACCTCCATGTGACATCTATTCACAATACAAATAGGCTGTAAACCCATTTATCGTCTATTACACATTGTCATACTACCTCATTATTTACCCTTTTATGAATCATTTACATCTAGTCACTTCTTATAACTAGACTTTTGTTATGATGTGTTTCTTTTTTTGACTATTCTTCAGACTCACAATTATCAATCAGTTTCATCATTTAACACAACCTTTTATTAAATGCATGGAGCCGTTAGTGTGTCAGGTGTTTGTGCTGTTCTTTAGACATTCTGTTCTGAGTCTATGCACTGGTTTAACGCTCTCTCTTCTTTCTATTTCCCTTTTCTATTTCCACCTTTTTTATCAGGAGGAAGGTCAACTGCAGGTTTGTGGTCCTTATTTGATCTTGTATGGCAAGTTGTTTATTCAGTGAGGTTGGATTTGCAATAAATATATAGGAGAGTAGTATTCATTTACATGTATATTCAGTGTATTTCACTTCTCTAAGTAGACATAGAAAACATACTCCTACCTGAGTATTATATTGCACAGTGTCAGTACTCTTAAATAAAAATATTGGTTGCTCTTCCCACTGTGAGTAAGTCTACACATGACAGAAATTAGAACATTTGTGTTTCTTGCATCGCTCCATCAGATACAATTTCAATTTTCTCTCTGTCTGCTCTTTGAAAATACCAGATTTAGTGCATTATTTTTAATGTTTTGCCCTTACAGTTCACTTCAAATTATAGATCAGAAGATTTCGTTTTAAGTTCTTGGTGAAATACATTGTACTTCTACTTGCATATTATGTATCATCTCTATAGTGTATAGCCCATGAATGCAACTTAAAGTGGAATTAAAGACTGAATCCACTCTTTTTCCTACTAAACTGTGCATATGGTGTTTGAAATGCATCTGAATAGCATTATCTACTGTTCCAAAAACACCTGAATCTTTGTGCTGCCTGCAGTGGCTTCTGCAGTTTCCAGTAGTTGGTGACATCACTCAGGACTGCCCTGATTACAGCCAGGGGCAAAGTTTGAAGTGTGGATACCTGCCGTTCCTTATACTTTCAGTCCCTGCCCTTCCTCTCCCCTCACCCTCCCCTTTAGTCCTCCTCTCTTTGAAATGTGGTTGCGGGCTGACTTTAGGTGTCAAGTCCCACTTTTAATCCCTTAAAAAAGCAGTCTTAACATTTGTGCGAGTGTTAAAATGCTCCCTCATGTTTGTACAGACTTGATAAACTTCTGGTAATCCCATGTATGACAGATGGTTTGTTGTGTTCACAGAGAGGGAGACTGGTGGCTGGCGCGGTCCCTCGCCACTGGAGAGAGCGGATACATCCCCAGTAATTATGTGGCTCCATCGGACTCCATCCAGGCAGAAGAGTAAAGCATCTGTCTTCATTATCTTATCTTTGTTTTTACCCTATCTTTGTCTTTGTTTCTTCTGTATGTGTCACTGTATATGCCAGGGGTGGGTCTAAATATTATTACATGACTGAAATTGAAGTTCACACATTAAAAAAGGCACATTTAAAGGTTGTATAGAGGATTTTCCAAGGAACGAGAAATACAGCGACTGTTTGTCCTTTTTCAAATGTTGCGCATGCGTGAAACCACCCCCCCTCCCCTACAGCTCCCTACATAGAAACGCCTCCTCCCGCCTCCTCCTTACGCCAGAAACAGGTTTGTTTACAGCCGGTGAGCTGCACATGACTCGTAAACAACTAACTACAGTGTTGGTTAGGCAAGGCGGAGAAGTGAGGAGCGGGGGGAGCGGGTGCACGGACATTTCGTGCACGGACGAGAAGTGAGGAGCAGGGAGAAGAGCGGAGCAGGGAGAGGAGAGAGGAGAGGGGAGCGGTGCGTGGAGATTCCGTGCCCGGAGAAGTGAGGAGCAGGGGGAAGAGCGGATCGGGCAGCGGGGAGAGGAGCAGGAAAGGGGTGCAGAGAAGGGTTGCATGGGAGATTCAGTGCGAATGAACTAGCTACAACACGCAGCAGCAAGCGGACTCTTTCTTTGCCTTGAAAATTACGTTTTCAGACATAGGATATCACTTTCGTGTCCTGAAAAACGTTTGACTAGCTCTTGGAAATAAAGTACGTTTTCATAATAAGCAGAAGTGACCTGTCCAGGAGTAATTTTGGCGACCAATGCGTCAGTCTTTAGACCCTGCGTCTGCTTCAGTCGCGCCATCGCTGGAATTAAATCTTCAAGAATCACCTTAGTTTGGCTTCGCTGCTTTTCCCCTTGTCTTTTTCTTTCAGCGAATCTCAAAAACGGACTTTCTTTTGCGGCTAACTGCTCCTGGATTCTTGTCTGCCATTGCAACAAACTTTGTGCTAACTGCGAGGAAGATATAGGTAAAAAAAAGCCGCTAAGAACTGTTGCGTTGGTGGAGTAAACAGTGTCTGTGCGGCTTGCGTCTGTGGACTGCGTGACAGGCGTACGTAAACCACGTAACGGCAGCGCGCAGGCAAGTCAGTTACGCCAGAAACGTAGGGAGTTTGATTGACAGCCTGTCAGCTAACAGATAACGAGGCAGTGTCGTTATCTATTGGCAAATGTTTAGCCCCACCACGTCCAGAGTTGATGAATTTTTATTCTCTTTTTTTTGGTCATCATAATTACAAGGCTACTGCACCTCTATAATGCTATCATTGACAATTTGAAACAAAAAAAATCCTCCATACAACCTTTAAGAGATATCACAACATTGTAGAATCCCTATCATTTAAACTGAGCTGGAGGATGCATCAGACTTCTGTGGTTAAATTTGCTTTGTTGATTTGTTGACCTGGTTTATGGTTCATATCTCTGTAATAACTGGACCTATCCACATGAAACACAAATTGGCACAAAGTTCAACATCTCAATACAAACAAAAGTCACGTTCTCTTTTCATTTAGGAACAGCAACATGGATTTTTGCGATATTTGTCAGTTCATGAACTCAAGAGAATCCATCTTGCCAAAGGTGAAGCATCAAATTGCAGCTATGTGAAATAGTTGAGCACTTTTGTCATAAAATATTCTGATAAATGACACCTCTGGCAATTGTGTCTGTACCTTTCCTTTTAAATTTAGCATGTTAAAGCATTGTTTCTGTCAGATGGTTGGTGCATCAAATAGGGCCGACCGATATGGAATTTTTTGGATCCGATATGATACTGATAAAAGAGGGTTTGGAATATTGGAATATATGACATATTTAGTGATGTAAAAGTTCAATGGAAATCCTCAGTTGATTATAAAACTTAGATCGGGTTCTACTGGATTTTTTCAGCTGAAAATATCGGTCGGGCCCTAGTATCAAATGTGTTCATGCAAATCAGACGAGGGTAGACATTCACTTGAATTTATTTTATGAAGAAACAATGAGCATAACTATGAGTAGAAGTAATACTGAATCAAAGCATGGATGTCCAGACAGTTTGACTTGTTGGGCCACATATTAAAGCGTATATAATGCAGACTGGTGGATCATTCAGAGGTGCATTTCACACACTAATCTTTTGTTCAGGCATGGATCCTTTATGTAGTGTAGTGTACTTTATGTATGTCTTGGGCCAAAATATTTATGACAGCAGATAGTAGATTATAGATTTTTTTAAACTTGTTAAGAGTATGCAAAAAATTTTCTAAAAGTCTCATTTGGCCCCTGGACCACTGAATGGACACCCCTGCTCTAATTCTTCCCTCCTCTGATGCGAACTCGCTCTCTCACTGCTCACATTAACCAAAACACACTTTTCTTTTCTGTCTTCTGCTTTGCCTTCAGTCAACTCAGACTAATCCTAGAGTCCAGGTAAGACGCTGTGTGCTAATGCTAATGATATATTCATTATCAGAGTTTTTAGACCGTTATAATGTTGTGTCCTCTTTAAACATTTTATTTATTCTTACCCGGTCATATATAAACTCTTGTGTCTGTGTGCTTTTGTAGGTGGTACTTTGGCAAAATAACTCGGCGAGATTCAGAAAGACTGCTGCTCAATTTGGAGAACAGAAGAGGGACGTTCTTAGTCAGAGAGAGTGAGACCACCAAAGGTAAGTCACGACCAAAAAGCCTTAGATGTGGTTGCCAAAATACTAATACTAAAAGTAGTTTTGAAATTAGATACTCGTTTGAGCAAGGATCGATACAAAAATCATTCACAGGACAGAGATTAATATTTCCTGAATGATCTGGACCTGTATCAGAACAAATATAAGAGTACATAAACTAGTATACACCCATGGACCACTATGGAACCTTCCTGGACCACTGAGGTAATACACAGATATAAGATCCATGGGAATATAAAAGATAGTACTACAATTTAATGCTGAAAATCACATTCTATTGTCTAAAGAAAGAGTGTTTTTTTTATTATCAGTATTGAGTATCAAGTCTATTCCTTAGTATCAATATCAAGTTTGAAATGTTAGTATTATGACAACACTTATGTATTCAGCACATTACAATAACAGAAAACCTGGGCTGGTTACAGTTACTAGTTCCATTTCATTCGTACTGAGTGTCAGAGGGTGTGCATCAGTAGTAGGAGTTACATTCATAACTCATTACTTTCTCAATTTATTTAAAAGTCATAATGTTTATTTATTTAAAAGAGTCTTTATCAGATGTAATGGCTTATGTTTGGCAGTGAGCCTAAATCTGAATATCTCTATATCAGTATCTATTATGTGTAAACAGAAGAAAGTGAAAGTGGAAGAGGAGACAAAGAGCAAAGGTATCAGAGAGACAGAATTAGGTCAATGGGGGAATAGTACATGAACCCGGCCATCATCTCATTCAGATTGAAAGAGGGGGGGCAGAGGAGCGGGGCAGAGGAGGGGGCAAGAGGAACAGAGGAGGGGGGTAAAGGAGGATGAAGGGGGCTGGGGAGGGGGGCAAGAGGAGAGAGGGTAAGAGAAGGGGGGTAAGAAAAGGAAGAGGTGTGCCCCAGGCTGCCCCCAAAAAGAGTAGATGATTTATGAATGAATGCTTCCCTCTGGTGGTGATGGGAATGTACATTTATTTTTACTTAAAATAATTTTTTTATTTTATATTTGTTTGCTGTATTTTAAAGGGCCTGTATTACACTATTTTTATCTCCTCAGGGGGCTTAAAATGTTACTAAAAAGACTAATAAAAAAGTGGAGAATTCATATTTGTAGTTTATGACAGATAAGATACATCAACACAAACACTTTAACAGGAAATGCCATATGAAAAACTGTAGTTATTCAGAAGAAGACATTTTAAAGTGTTTTTAAACTGACATTGTGAAGACTCTAGAAAGTCTGTTCCATAATATTAGATCCTTTGCATAGAACACTAAACTGAGACTAGGCTGTGTGGGTGTAAGGAGCTCCAAGGCAATGTCCACTATGAGTTTGGATGAACATGAAATTCTTTTTTTTTTATTTACTGTGGGATTCCTGCCCAAAGTGGAGCTCCATAGAAGGAAATGTAAATGATTTTGGTGCAGTAAATCTATGTAACTTCTCATATCCTTGTCCTTGTGCTGTGTGTGCAGGTGCCTACTGTCTGTCTGTACTGGACTATGACAACACCAAAGGACTGAACGTGAAACATTATAAGATCAGGAAACTGGACTCAGGAGGATTCTACATCACCTCACGCACACAGTTCCTCACACTGCAGCAGCTCGTCAACCACTACCGCAGTGAGTGTCCCTCTTCTCTCTTTTTGTTTAAAGGTTTAAACTCTAACCTAACCCTCTCCTCCCTCTCTCCCCCTGTCGCCTCTCAGAGCACGCAGACGGCCTGTGCCACAGTCTTACAGAGATCTGTCCAGTGTTAAAACCTCAGACTCAGGGTTTGTCCAAAGACGCCTGGGAGATCCCCCGAGAGTCCCTGCGCCTGGACCTCAAACTGGGCCAGGGCTGCTTCGGGGAGGTCTGGATGGGTGAGTACAAACACATTACAAGAACACTTATATTCAGTGCAGTTCATTGACCTGTGTGAAGTTGTAATCTGCACCATCAGCCCCTCCGTCCACCACAACACTCACACACCACATTCAGACTAGGCAATGAAGTGTCTTGCCTTAAGACACGACAACACTTTGCACTAAAACTACTACTACCTCACTGGGACACCTGGAAATCTCAGAGGTATCTGTTATATTTATTTAGTTCTGTGACTGTCCTACTTTTTATACTAACTGACTCTAACTTTCTTTAGAGGTCCTATATTACACAAAATTGACTCTTATGAGCTTTAAGTCATGTAAAAATGACAGTACCTCATCAAAAGCATACCTAGAGTTGCATTTTGTTTTCTTTACATGTTAAGTAACTGTTTATGATTAGTCTGTCCACCTCGCCAAAGCTCAAAATGCTCTTTTCCACCTTATGATTTCATGAAGTGGTACTTTACAAATTAACAGCTATCTTTACTGTTAGTTCAGCAGAAACTGGAAATTTCAGGGCTGTAACCCTCCTAATGATTCTAGTGAAGGTTTACGGAGTTTAAAAGCAGTGGACTATTGTCACATGACATCACAAGGTGGAACAGAGTGTTTTCTGTTTGAGAGCCTAAATATGCAGGGTTTGTGTGTTAAACAAGTGTGAATGAAGCAAAACAAAACTCCAGCTATGTTTCTGATGAGGAAACAACATTATGACATAGATCCGAAAAAGCGTAGTGTGGGTCCTTTGCTATTCCACAGTATTATTGATTTCCCTCTTTATATCTCAGGTACTTGGAATGGTACGACGCGGGTGGCCATAAAGACGCTGAAGCCGGGCACCATGTCTCCTGAAGCTTTCCTGCAGGAGGCGCAGGTTATGAAGAAACTCCGACATGAGAAACTGGTGCAGCTGTACGCAGTGGTGTCAGAGGAGCCCATCTACATCGTCACAGAGTACATGACCAAAGGTAGGGGAAGTGTATATGGTGTCATCATCTCAGATGGAGGGAATAACTCTATGGGAGAGTCTTAACATGGCTAACACCAGACTGATATGTGTAGCACTCTGATTTAGTTCTTTGGCTCCTTCTGAAAGTGATTGGAAAAAGGTGTATTTTATAAGCTGCTTGGGCAAACTGCCACAACAGAGAAACAAGATGAGAAATCAAAATTTTGTTAAACCAAGTGCAGACGGCTTTCCTCTCCACAAATGTACAAAGGGATAGAAAGTTAAAAAAAAAAAAAAAGTACAGAAATGTCAAAAGCTAAAATCATTTTCAATCCATGGGTTTCAGAATGATGATAAATTAGGGATGTTGCCAAACTAAATATTATATCTTTTGAAAGGGAAAGCTGAAAGCTGAAACCCTGGGATATGAGTTAATGCAGAAGGAAAAGTGTTTGTCATCCTCCTGCTTTAAAATGTGATTTTTTTGTTTTGATCTTCACAGGGAGCTTGCTGGACTTCTTGAAAGGAGACATGGGTAAAATGCTGCGTCTGCCTCAGCTGGTGGACATGGCTTCACAGGTCTGTATCACTCACACAGATTCACATTACTGACCTGACATGTGAAAGCACTGTTGACACTAAAATCCACTCCTCTCTCGTAGATTGCTTCAGGGATGGCGTACGTGGAGAGGATGAACTATGTGCACAGAGACCTCAGAGCCGCTAACATCCTGGTGGGAGATAACCTGGTTTGTAAAGTGGCAGACTTTGGCCTGGCTCGGCTCATAGAGGACAACGAGTACACTGCAAGACAAGGTGAGAGACGCAAGGGCCATTTACTTCATATCAATATAAGGCTATAAACATCAGCAAGCGGTGATGGTGCTTCGCTTTATAGTGAAAGCAATATTATTTTTATAGCATTATGCACGAGATGAAGATTGTGTCACTCCTCATAGAATTCTAATGAAAGGAATTGATGTGGTCGTCAGATCTCTGAGGCTAAGCACTGCTGAGCTTGGGTTAATGCACTATTTTAAGATGTTGACTACAGTTGGGGTTTATTCACAGTTCTAGGAGTTGTTCTACGGCTCTTTTGTTTACTATTATTATTTCAGCTAAAGCACTTTGGTCATAATACGTATCTCTAGTCTAAAAGACCTTCAAAAAATTGTACCTTAACCTTTACCACTTCTTTATACAGTCTGGTTCTTTCTTTGTGGAGAGTGTTTTGTGCATTAACTCCCTGTTTTGTTTTGGTTTTTTTCAGGAGCAAAGTTTCCCATAAAGTGGACGGCCCCTGAGGCGGCGCTGTACGGACGCTTCACCATAAAGTCTGATGTGTGGAGCTTTGGGATCCTCCTCACTGAGCTCGCCACCAAAGGGAGAGTGCCCTATCCAGGTCAGGAGCAAACCACACAACACACAAGCACTGTGTATGGGTATTACAGCGACAGTAGAATCCAGGACGCATATGAGTCAAAAATATAGACTTGCCCATGTACTGTTCAGTCCTGGTTTAGTCCTGGTTCTGTCCTGGTTCAGTCTTGGTTTAATCCATTGTTTAGTTCTGGTTCAGTCATGTTCATAGCCATGGTTTAGTTCTGATCTAGTACTGATTTAGATCTGGTTCAGTCTTGGTTTAGTCCATTGTTTAGTTCTGGTTCAGTCCTAGTTTTGTCCCTGGTTTAGTTCCTGGCATAGTCCCAGTTGGTTAAGTCCAAGTTGGTTTAGTCCCAGTTGGTTTAGTCCTGGTTTATTACTGGTTCAGTCCTTTTGGTTTTATCCCTGGTTTGGTCCGGGTTTAGTCCTGCTATAGTCCTGGTTTAATCATCCAGCCCTGGTTCTATTTTGGTTTAAACCTGCTTAGAGCCAGTTTAGACCTGGTTAAGCCATGAGTTATACCTGGTTTAGACCTGATCCTAGTTCAGTCCTAGCCTTTGTTTAGTCCTCCATTTGTCCTGGTTTTGTCCCTGGTTTAGACTTGATTTAGTGCTGGTTTAGTCCTGGTTCCATCTTAGTTCATTCATAGTTTAGTCCTTGATTTAGTCAATGTTTAGATCTATTTTAGTGCTGGTTTAGTCCTGGTTTAGTCCTAATTTATTCATGGTTTAATCCTGGTTTAGTCCTAGTTTAGTCCTGGTTTAGTCCTGGTTTATTCACGGTTTAATCCTGGTTTAGGCCTGGTTTGATAACAACTTCAAAACCGCAGTAATTGCTTGGATCTTGGGTCCACAACCACAACACAAAGTACCCCATTTTATCAGGGCAGTCCCATATTGATTCATACATACCTATCCTCTTGTAAACATCATTTGACTTTCCCTCTTGTGTTTTTCAGGGATGGTAAATCGTGAGGTTTTAGACCAGGTAGAGCGTGGGTACCGGATGCCCTGCCCCGCAGAGTGCCCGGAGTCTATGCACGAGCTAATGCTGACCTGCTGGAGGAAAGAGCCAGAGGAGAGGCCCACGTTTGAGTACCTGCAGGGCTTCTTAGAGGACTACTTCACCTCCACAGAGCCCCAGTACCAGCCCGGGGAAAACCTCTAAAACACACACCACCTATGCACATGTACACTGCAAAAAGAGGGAAACGTGCAAGTTAAAATTATTTAAATTCAGAATCTTGACTCAAATGGTCCTGACTAGTATAAATGTATTTACTTACAAAGTCCAAGTTCTTTGACTGGTTTCTATATTTTGTGCTTCATCATTTTAATAATAGTGGCAATTATTTTGTAAAATCTGTGAAGTTCTTTTGACACTCACTACGTTTATATGATGACCCAAAAGTGGCATTGTGTCTTCACTTTTTATTCCGCATTTAGACGAGCGTTTTCGGGAGGAAATCTGTGACAGTGACGCAAAAGTGTGTGGAATTCGATTGGGTATGCATGCCAGGTGACTAGGTGGTGACAATAGGTGGTGATGTATGTGACATGAACGTGTACGTGACATGAGCAGATTTGACCAGAGTTTTGCGTCTTGGGCAATGAAGACGGAAATGCTAAGGCAGAGCGAAAGGCACTTCTGATAAAATATTTTGTCGTTTTTACCCGCAAGCGTTTTCGTGTCAACAGCTAGAGATGGACAGAGGAGCCAAAACTTTTTCATTATATTACTTAAATAGAATTTACCCAAATAATTAAATAAAAGTCAAAAGTATTTAGAGAAACTACTATGAGAGTCCATTTGAGCATAACATGTACTTAAAATAAGATTTCTGATTTATGTATGTTTATGTAATTAGAAGACAGATGTGAAAAAATTACACAAATTAAGTACACAAAAATTAAGGAAGCACAAATGGTCTAATGATCTAATGTTGTTACCACTGGAAGACTTCTTCTCAGTGGGAATAAACTAAGTTACTTAAAAGTACTATTACTACTTAAACTAAATATTACTAAAGTAAGATAAAGTGTCAGACATCCACTCCTCAAATATAACTTCTCAAAGCATTACAAAACAAGTAAGTGTAAGTGAGTACAATGCACCTCTGTTCTGCACACTGCATCATTCATTCTCCTTTACTCAGTGATAGTGGCTATTATAGCTACAGCTGTCCTGGGGCAGACTGATGGAAGCGAGGCTGCCAATCTGCACTATTGGTCCCTCCAACCACCACCAATCACACTCACACCACATCCATGCTATATGCAAGGTGGGTGAAGTGTCTTGCCCATTATGTAATTCAAGTAAGAACAAAAAGGCACTAACAAAATGACTCAAAAAAGATACTAATTTAAGATTCTGAATTTATGTAATTTCAACTTCCACTTTCCTTTCTGCTGCATAAAGGACTTAATTATAACACATGTAAAATGTTAACTTTGAGTACAATCACTAACATGGACATCTGTGGGATCGATGAGGACTGCACGACTTTTACAGGAATTACGGTAATTTCCAGCAAAGCAAAGCAAAAAAAAAACCTAAGGAAAAGACCTTTTTTTCTTCAAAATAATGTCCACAAAAGACCAACAACCTTCCTTTGGAGACATCATGATAATATATTTTTATCTTTCTGAAAATGTGCTTTGTAACCACAGCAACAACTAACTATTAATTTAAAAAAGGACTTGGCAAAAAAGCAGGAGAATTGTTGATAGAATTTCACGATCACACTAAAAATATGTAAATAAAAAGGCTTGGGATGTGTTCACGCACTTCAAACTTAACACCTGATGCAATTTTTTCTCAATGGAAAAACATTTTGGAAAATTTAAAAGAAAATGACTACAAATGTGTTTTTATTTTTGAATTTTGGGATTAACTGGATAATTTTGACGTGTACAACTCCCCTATAGTTCTTCCTTTTAAATGACAGCTCTGTATTTTGGGCGAATAATATTTTTATAAATAATTTTTTTTTTTCCATTTGTGGATGTGGACATAGAGCCTATCACAAAAAGAAAGAAGAGGATTCATGTGGCATTTTTTTGACTTCCAAACAAATGGCTACTGATCAATGCACTGCAAAAAAATGTAGAAATGATTTGAATTCAGATTAAGAAGCTTGGTTTGAGTAATTTTGAGTAGTATTTTATTAATTCAAGATAAGTTTTAATATATTGATAGTTTTTAAAGGCGCACTATCTAACTTCTGGTAGATGCTTCCTGCTTGTCTCTTTGGAGTTTCGCCTGGAATGTTTCACGGTATAGCATTAAAACATGGCTATCTTGGTTTGTAGCTGTGTTTTTATTGCTTAAAAAATTCTTACTGAGAGTCACCTTTCCACAGATCTGACCTGTAATTTGGGCCGGTTGGTGTCACCTACTTGTTTCCATGGAGGCGCATAAGTGTAATGCTGTAGTGAGGAACATTTTAGGCAATAGAGACAAGCAGCACCTTTAGGATCATGCCTTTTATGGTCTAATAACAATTTGTCCTTCTCTTATTTATGGCAAAACACAACTTTTGTTTAGTGCAGTTTATTTACTGTAACTAGAAATACATATGTCAGGTACTGTTAAAAGATTAAAAAGTTTCAGTTTTAATTAATGTGATGCCATAAGCAGAATATTTAGGAATAAAAAAACAAAAAAAATATTAATACAACTTAAATTATCTTGTTTTAGTAAATGAATACACATAAAACTAGTCAACACTACTCTACTACAAAAGGCAATTGTTCTGAATCTGAGTCATTTTAAGTGTTTTTTGCATTGTAAAAGTGATCTCAGGTGGAGAAGACATGTTTCTGCTGCATGTACCTTTGTGCCAATGAAAACCTGCTCTTTTTTACAGTGCATTGTGTAATTAAAGTGTATTTTGGTACAACTTATTAATAACTCTGAAAAAATGACAATGTTTTAACAAATATAACTCACTTTTGTAGGTTCTTCCTTTTGGCTTATCAGCATCGGTGTCTGGTGCTGAATCAGGAACACTTAAATTTCCTTTAATTTGTATCAGATTTTTTGCATAATTGTATCTTTGTATTATAATTGTTTTTATTTTGTTTGAAATGGTTTTTAGAGCGTCATTATACACTGGAGATGGACACTGCAACAAGGAAAAGCCTATCTACATTTAGAAGTTAAAATGATTTGAATTCAGAATCTGGATTTGAGTTCTGACTAGTTTTGATGTATTTAGGCCACTATGAAACATGTGTAAATCATGATTTTACAATATTTATCTAAAATATTTTTTTAAAACAATAGGTGCATTACGGTGGCATCGTAGTTAGTATTCTCGCCTCACAGCAAGACGATACCTGGTTTGACTCCCAGGACTTTTTGTGTAGTTTGCATGTTCTCTCTGTGTCTGGGTGGGTTTCCTCCAAGCACTTAACTCATCAACCCAAAACATACAGTGTGCCCTTAAAAAGATGCAAATCTATAAGTGGTTTTAATATATTTTCTAGTAATTAAGTTTTCAAATGTAGGTCTAAGTAAAGTAAATAAAGTAGGAATGTAACAATAACGGAAATATCGTGATATCGTATTTTCAAAGTTCTAACAATAATATCGTGGACCATCACAATATATCGAATTACAGGTCTCTTTGCTTAAATTGAGAGTTATGGTGCAGAAATAGCTAAAAAAAAAAAAAAAAAAAAAAGACAGAGGGAACTACATAGACCATGATCCTTTGCTCCATTTCAGTGCAGATTACAAGAAGAAATAACAGTTGTAAGCACTTTTAAGTCTTAGTTCTTTTGGATTAAGTCTTGTCAAGGCATTTTAAGAGAAAAAGTAGCATATTGTTACATCTCTAATTGTGAGCTTCCCACCATATCGTGAGTTTTCCCACGATATCACAATAAATATCGTACCGTGAGGTTCATACTGTGACAATATTGTATTGTGAGACTTGGATATCGTTACATCCCTAAAATAAAGCAAAACTAGTCAGAACTACTCAAATCAACAACACAATCTTGAATCCAAGTGATTTGGAGTGTGTGTAGATACAATTTTTTGCAGTGTAGTAGCTGTACAAGAGTGCATGACACAAGTAGTACCAGTAGAGGGCAGTGCAGGGACAGTCCCGAAACACTGTAAATACAAATTGTTTTAATATTCTGTAAATATGATTTTATAATTTATTCCACACAAAAGTTTATTTTACTTCCAGCTTCACCATCACCAACGCTTCCCTCTGGTACGTTTATGGGTGAAATCCTATTTTTGCAAGTTTAAAATTCTACAGTAGTTTGATCTTTGGAGTGTATAGGCCTACTGTATTTTTGTAACTTTGACTTTTGGTTGTACATTTTGTATGACTGATAATAAACTGTAAAGCCTGTTGGTTTAAAGTACAGATGTAAGGAAAAAAAAGTTACGATAATTATAATATTTTTAATCAATTTCTTCCATTTTTGCATCTGTAATGACGTGATGCACTGCAAAACATAATATTCACAAAAGGTCAAATGACTTCAGTTCAGATTTTGAGCAGATTTAAATATGCAATGTCCTTATTATACTTATACTAAATATAAATTGAAGGACTTTTCACTCATTCAAATATACAGATTTTGTTTTGAATTGTGACAACACTTGCAGTTTATCATCATTCTGAAAACATAGATATCATATTTTTAAGAGATCCACTGATATGGAGTTTTTCATGGTCGATGCCAGTACTGATTAGAATTCAGAGAAAATGATGACCGATAAGCTCTGCAGATACTTTTTGGCTTACATGTAGGACCCCCATGAATATATATTTTTTAACTGATTTAATTCAAATTTACCACAAACTCATCCATACGCTGGGTTAATACAAGCTGGATAAGAGAGCAGCATAATCACATTTTGTGCAGTATTGTGTTGGGGCTAGTGTTCAAATAAAGCTTGATAGATATTCTTATATATACTTCACATAATTTCATAAAACCTGTCAGAAATGTTTTGAAAAAAAAGTTGTGATAAGTGATACATCTTAATTTGCCAGAACGACTCAAATCGAATCCTGAATTCAAGTCACTTACCTTGTGTGGATATTACTTTTTCTTTTTTTCTTTTCTTTCTTTGTTTTGTTTTTTTGACAGTGCAGCACTTTAAAACACATCTTAATAACACAGGTCTGTATCTCACATAGGGCCTCTGAAGTGTTGCAGGCGTTACAAAGGCTATGCAGTATTTTTCATTCCTGAATTCTCTTTTCTACTGTTTTTCAACTGAAATATGAAACTGTTTATTCTGTACCAATGAATATGGACTTTGTTCAAAATTTAAAATCAGTTTGAATAAAATTTGTATTGAGAAAGAAAGGCCACATTGGGGCTGTTGATTGATTGAGTTAAGAATGTACCATTTTTCTTGCCTGGAAATCCAGAAGGATATTTCTCTGTATTTGTTATACAGCTCCATATCAGACACAGGTACAGCGATGAGTCTGGATTCGTCCAGGCAACCATTTTTCTGTAAATTATTGTATGAATTATGAACAATCCAAAAGGAAAAAAAAAAAAAAAAACACACTTGAACCTGATCATTTCCATTTTGGAGACTTTAGTAGACTATTGGGATAATGTGCAGAGGTGTGTAGATAACAATATCTAAATCTCTCAATATGATCTTTTCACAATATGGTAAAGGAGAAATTCAATTTATCAACTGGACAAAAGTTTATTTGATCGAACACGTTTCACAGCTCATCAGTTCTGGTCAGACGCTGGTGGACACTTCCTTATATCTGCCTGCAGGGAAGAGATAACTATAGTGAAACAACAAACACACCTACATGTTTACAGTTTCTGTTAGTTTGGCAATATAATTGATTTCAATAGGCCTAACTAACTAAATTCTCCTCTACCATGGATTCTACCTGGACGACTGAGGCATTTTTCACACATTTCCACGATATGCATCTACAGTACAATATTTATTGCAATATTTTGTATAGGATAACAAAAGTATGAATATGCTTCTGGTTAGGGAAAATAAGTGTTGTCCTAATGAGTCCTAGAGTTGTTCAGAGAGGCAGAGACTCTGGATGTCTGAGGCAGGAGAAGTTTATTTACCATGTGTCCAGAACCTGGTGAACTTGAATACTCAACACTGTGCTTTAGTACCGGCTATTCAAGCCTGAATATGCTCCCACACAAAGAGGTTTAAATAGGAGCTAAGAAGAAGAGCGTAGAGGCTTACTGGCTGAGATTAAATGAGAAGAGCATAGCAGATTGCTTCTGTGAGATGAATTAACCAAAGAAACTGATAATGTTAAAGAAGGACAAATTCTGTAATAGTCAGGTGATGCCAGAGCTAACCACAAAGAAATGTCAATAATGAACTGGAGGTGTCCTTGCTCAGACTATACAGGGGATGCAAAATTCCACAACACTACTTTTCTGTCGTAATGCAAATTATTCAAATGTAAAAATGTGTAATACCAGTTATTTCAGCATGTAGACTGGAGCAAAGGATCATGGTATATGTAGTTCCCTCTGTTTTCTAGCTTGCTGCACCATAATAATGAATTTAAGCATTTTTAATTCCATATACTGTCATGCCACACAATATTACTGTGAGATTTTGATGATACAATATCACAGTATTTTGGTTGTTGTTATCTCTAGTAGGTATAGTGCTCAGTTATATTTAAATGTACTCTGACTTCAGTATTATTATTATTATTTTTTATTGAACAGTACTCTTTCTTGAGTAAATGTTTTGGTTACTCGTCCCATTATGAGTGAGTCTACAAGTGACAAAGGCTTTATGTTGACATCCTGACAAGTTACTCTTTAAGTTACTCTTACTTGACTAGAAGTTTTCCCAAATGTTTTTTTTTACTCTTACGTGTATAATTTCCTGAACCAATATTATGTACTTTTACTTGAGTCATATGATCTTGAAGTAATGCTATTTCCTTGAATACATTTTTTGGTTAATCTACCCATCTTCCCATCCCACTGTACTTGGCACCATATCAGTCAAACACTGGGGATGTTGTGAGTCAGTAAAATCTCTCATTGAAGGAGGTGTCATGGTGTCAAAGGTTTTAGAGGTGTCTTCAGGACACTTTTTGTACTGATGACTCTGTATTACTGAAAGGGTCCTTAAGAAAAAAAAAACAGTACATATAAAACGGGAAATATAAAATGGATCATATTCACTGGAATATCAGCAGATTAGCAAGTAAACTAGCACATAGTGGGCTGGTGTATCTTGGAAGTCCTTTTTTTTTTAGACAGTTTCCACAGTTTTACATTTGACTAACTTTTCTAATAAAATTGAACTTTTGTGTAGTTTTAAGACACCATACTTTTACTCCTACATGAGAGTGTAACTTCCTGTTGTGAGGAAGTACATGACAAAAGCTTTATGTTGACAATATTGCATATTTTACACTATTTTCTGATCTATGTTATGTTATTTCCTCCACAAACATACCTGGATTTCCATATTTAGGCTGAGTTCTTCTCTGAAATAGAAACCACCTGGTAATGTCATGTAGCAATACAGGAAGTGCAACACTGCTCCTTCTCTAGAATCATTTGGATAATTTGGAATTTCCAATTTCTACTGAACTAAAGGTAAAAGGTAGCTGTTAACTTGACTACTCCTCCATGACATCAAAAGATGGACAGAGCATTTTAAGCTTGATGAGATGTGTGTTTATTGAACCACTCCTGCAGATAGAATTCAGTTTTTTGCATATTTTTGTGATCTCTCAAATTGTTTTCTTTCAAAGTTTAATATTTTGTCTTTCCTTCACATAAACTTCAAATTATAAATCAGAAATTAAGTCACTCTTACAAAGTTCTCCCAAATACGTTTTTATTCTTACAAATTTTTTGGATCACTATGTAGCCCACCTCTATCCCACTTGAATTTTGAAGTAATAGTACTCTACTCTTATTTGAGTAGGCTTTGAGTGAGTACACATTTTGGTTACTCTACCCACTTCTGTGCTTACCTGAGTATTATATTTTCACACAATATCACAATAGCCCAGCTCATCTCCATACCCTACTGTCGTGTGTGGGGCCCCCTGCCGTGTCACGTGTTCCGGCGCAGGTCCGGGCTCGGGAGGTGTGCCAGAACGTCCCGGAAGTGTCGGAGAGCGCGCGCACCCACCTGCCCCCTTCGCTCTCTCTCCTCTGTCTCTCTCTTCACCTGTAAACGTGTAAACAATGCGCAAAACAAGCACACAACACCCAAGACACCGAGGATTGCGTTTCACCGACACCGATCTCCCGTCACCTCTCCCCGGACAAGGTAAGCACGCGTTTCTGTTCCGTACTGACGCTTTTGGAGCCGTATTTTGACTTTGTGGTTTCTGAGTTTTTACTGTGACTACTAAATCTCATTAAACTTTCCTAGTTCTGTGTTTGCGTTCAGGTTTTTGAGTGAAAATGCCACAGTTACGTTTAACATCGCGTCAACAGAAGTGAATGGTCAATGGATGTGCGCTTTGTGGACAGTTTATTTGGTGCGTTCTACGATCTGCACAGGCTGTCACTCCACACACAAGTTTCTTACCTACTTTTAGCTTTCCTCGTTCACATTTAAGGATGAAATTTAGTTTGAGGCTTCTTTTTCCTTTTTCTTTAGGTCTGTCACGATAACAAAGTTTAAAGTGCGATTTATTGCTCTAGAAATAAATAATAGCCTATTATTGAAACTAGGTTAGTCAACTTCATCCCACTGACACAGTAACTTTGAAGGTGCACTGGGTCCACCACCTGCTTGACTCCATGGATATGTTATTGCTTTGTCTAGAAAGTTGTAGTATACTGTGGATAATTTGTTATAGAAGTTAAATTAGGACTAGGAAAAGAAGCAAACAAAATCTCCCATCTAATTCTGCATAAAAAGTTAACCCCATAATTTACATTTGTTCAAACATGTTCTGAAACGTTCTGAAATGTGACTCTTGTATTACCTTGTCTCATATTTCTTTCTTTTGTTTTAGTTAATTGTTTCGGTCGAGTTTAAACAAAGTTTGAACTTTGAACTGAGTCTTATTATTAAAACAGAAATTGCAAATTTATTTGCAACTGAAATTCTTGTTTGAAAAGCCTTAATTATGTCCCCCAAATTTAAAATCGTACAACAACAAAAAATTTTTAAAATCCACACAAGTCCAGAGAATATGTCTACACATGATAGCCCTAAAATTATAGTACATTCTATCATGTATTGAATGATAAGTCAATGTACTAATCATGATGACAGGTCTAACAATCTAAATACTCTATTTATAAACCATAGTCTATATATAAATGGTCTAAGCCTGCCCAAACACCTTTTCTTTTGGCTCTAGGGTTGGTAAGTGTAATGTGTTATGACTCAAACTCTTAGTCACTGTTGTATTTCTTGTCACACAGTATATTTATAGGGGCCACTGTTGTGTTTTAGGGCAGTGTTTCTCAAACTGTGGGGCTGACCCGGCTGTCTCTGCTTCCTGGTTCCTTCAGGGTATGTAGGCTACTCACTTAAGTTTAGCTGTTTGGTCCTGGTTTACTCACGATTTAGTCCTGATTTAGTCCTGATTTAGTCTTGCTGCAGTCCTGGATTGGTCTTGTTTTAGTTTTGCTTTGGTTCTGGTTTGGTCCATGCATTAGTCCATGTTTTGGTCCTGGTTTAGTCCTGATTTAGTCCATGTTTTTGGTCCTGGTTAAAGCCTGGATTGGCCCTGGTTTAGTCCATGGATGGGTCCTGATTTAGTCCATGGTTGGGTCAATGGTTTTGGTCCCTAATATAATAAAATACTGTACATGTTTCTGTTAAAGGTGCACTGCGTAACATTTTGAGTGGAGGATCTGCCACCTGCTTGTGTCTCTATCATAGCACTACGCTAGATTACAGTTGAGATCTGTGGAAAGTCGCCCCTGTACACAGAAGGAAATATTATATTTTTGAGCCACAGAAACACCTGAATAAACAGATATAAGCAGTAACATCTCCATGGAGACAAGTAAGTAGTGGACACTCCATGAGAAAAGTTGAGCAGTGCACCTTTAAAGTCTGGTTGTGACGACGACCAGGCTCTCCAGAGCAGCTGCCTCTCGGTCACTGTTTCCTCTCATTCAACAGAACAACGTGAACAGGACAAGTTTAAATGTCATTAGAAACATGTTCAGTCTGATAAACTCTCTCTTTCTCCCCTCCCTCCATCTCTCCATCTCTCCCGCAGAGAGAAGAGTTTTGACTCGTTTATGTTCATTGAATTAAGGCTGAAAGACATTTTTGTTTGTTTTTAGTGAGATCAAAATCCATCAATATGAGGAAGCAAGTTACATGTTTAGATTAGATTGTGCAGCCCTTCTCTTCCTCTCTTTTTTCTTGTCTTCTGTTTCTCTCACTAAAGGTAGACTGATATATTGGTTGGCCGATATTAGCACTTTTTAGCGTATTGGCTATATAGGCCTTAAATCTCCAGCAGAGACAGCAGATGTTTTGTTTGGCCTAATCAGCTGAATGAAAATGCATAAAGAACTTATGCATAAAGCTGCATTTGAACACTTTAGTCCAAACAGTTAACTAGTTTGTAGTAAAACAATGTTGAGTTTGGGTTCGTACTAAATTCTAATTAGAGAATATAAAGAAAATGACCAAAATCTGCCCTACATATCGGCCAAAAAACATCGGCAAATGTTATGAGTCACCAGTTTGCCTCTTTGTGTCTCTCTTCTTTCTCTCTGTCTCTCTCTTTTTCTTTCTTCTCTATCTTTCTATGCTTGTGTGTCTGTCTCTCTCTCTGTCTGTCTCTCTCTATGTGTTTCTTCCCCCTCCTTTCTTTCTCTTGCTCCCTCTCTTCTCTTTGTCTGACTTTGCTGTGTCTGTGTGGCTCTGGTCTAACCTGTACAGAGCTTTAGGAGACACTGCTGAAAAAGTGAGTGCAGATAATCTGATTAATTGCCTCTGGAACAGTCAGGTCACTTTCTCTTTAAATCTTTCATACTCCTAAAGCCCACATCCAGGCCCACATCTACTCTTTATTTTAGTACACTAATGTAGTCACATAAGTGTTTCAGTGTACCCTGAGACACTTTTAATGATCCTATATTGAGTCATACCTGGAGTTGTGTTTTGTTTCATTCACACATGTTTGAGTAATCCTTTATTATTAGTCTGTCTACATCTCATCTCCAAAGCTCGAAATGCGCTGTACAACCATGTCATGGTGTGAAGCTGCAGTTCTCACGTTAACAGCTTTCACTTTTAATTTAGTAGAGATTGGCAATTCCAGGTCTGAAATGATCCAAATGATTCTAGTGAAAATGTATGGAGTTTAAAAACACAGTGGAACCCTTCCTGTATTATCACTTGACATCACAAGGTGGAACAGAGTGTTTTCTTTTTGAGAAACGAACACAGCCTAAACAGTTCTGAAACAGCTCAAGATCATTCTAAAGCTTTCAGGAAAGGTTCATTTCTGTCCTGTGAATGTGACTTTTGTAGTATTGATACCTGCTCAAATGAGTATCTAGTATCAGTGCTAGTTTTAGTATCGATTAGTACATGACAGAGGTGCATATTTGCAAGTTGTGACTTAGACTCGAGTCAGACTTGAGTCAATATTTTTAGGTCTTGAGACTTGACTTGATAAAACAGACTAAGACTTGGGACTTGACTTGGACTTGAAGGTCAGTGACTTGGGACTTCACTTGGGACTTGAGGCCTGTGACTTGAGAAGACTTGAGAAGCACTTTTAAATCTTAATTCTTTCTATTCTGACTGGACTTGGACTTTCCTGTATTTGACTTGGGACTTGACTCGGACTTCAGGTCAAAGACTTGAGACTTACTTGAGACTTACAAAACAAAGACTTGGTCCCACCTCTAGTATATGATTTTCAATACGTTTAACAAGCCTAGTACTTTTCAGTAGAAATTTCTAACAGATAAATTCATACAGTTTGACCCTGATCACTTCTATTCAAGGCTGTAGACAGAAGAACTCGCTGTATTCTAGTCAGTAACATCGACATCAGCCATGAAAAAATGAAGGAGGGTACACTCTCTTTATGTTCACGCTTCAACTTGACTTTCTCTTCATTCCAGACAGATGTGCTGAGGCCCGTACTAACATCTCCTCTGCTACCTTCTAAATATTTGACTATTACTTAAAGGTGCATTATGTAACTTCTCTGGTGGAGGATCTCTCAGTTGCTTTTCTCTTTTGCTGCTTTGTCTCAAATGTTTCACAGTATGGCATTAAACCTTTCTGTCATCATGAAGACCAAACCAGATGAAGTCACAGGTCAGATCTGTGGAGAGGAGACCCCGCTCACAGTCAGAAGACCTGTTTATCTAAGTATTTTTGAGCTATAAAACCACGTGTAATACATGCATCACGAATTTCGGACTTCTGGTCATCCCGCAATGCATACTGGGAAGGATTTTCCGAAAAAGTGAGCCTTAAACCACCATGTTTGATTTCCCAGTGGAATGCGTCTATTGACGAAGCCGATCCGAAGCAAAGTCTTTTGCCATCAAAGCGGGATCCCATTTGTTAAGTGAGAGGTGCAGAAGACAAACAGGCTGAGTTCGCACTTTCTTGTTCTTGTGGTTTTACAGCAACATTAAGTCTTGGTTGCTTTGCAGTGGAAAGTGTTTCTTGGTGAACAGTTAGTGGCTTTCGCTTTGGTGTTGACTTTTTAAATTCGTAACCAAGGTGGAGCGAGGGATCGGGATACCACTTTGATGGTGCTCCACATAAAAAATGTTCGCTGCAAACTCGGGATGATTTCTTAGGCAGCCAAAGGTTCCTTTTTTGTCGTTCCTGTGTATCAATACTGCCCATCGCCTTCGCCTTTCACTATTATTCAATTCCGTTGGGAAGGGAAACAGTTTGAACGGAGGTTTGCAGTCACACACATCTGATTCCCTTTTGCAGTTATGGAGTTCACAAACTTCCGAAGCCCGTTTTCCGCTGTTAGCACATCTAACAACCACACAATTATGATGTCCGAATCCCAAAACTAAAATATGACAATATCAGAACCAGAAACAAAAGTGATATGGTTCAAAAGACTTGAGAAGATTGGCTTTGTCAATAGACACATCTCACTGGGAAAACAAACATGGAGGTTTGATGCTCACTTTTTTGGAAAATCCTTCCCAGTATGCATTGCGCGATGACTGGAAATCTGGAATTCGTGATGCTTGTATTGTATAAATGTAAGGTAGAGCTGTTTGATGTCATACTGTGGCAGAGTAATGACATATCCATAGAAACATGTAATGCAATGAAATTTACATAGTGCACCTTTAAACATATTTTTACACCTGCACCTTTTTCACTACTGTAATTATTATGGACATGGTTTTTGCTCCTACTTGAGTACTGTTATTATAAAGTTGTATTGTGTTGTACTTACACAATTGACTACTTTACATAACCTGCTTGTGCAGATACAGGAGATTCTCATAATACTTTGCGGTTATGACTTTTCAAAATGTATTTCCTCATTGATACTCTCAAGTGTGGCAGATAATTAGAGTGTCTTTAACTGTCAGAGTTTTGTTTTCAGTTCAGAATGTAGGCCAGGCTAAAAATAGGCTCCAATACCTCTGCTAAGAAACGAATATAAAAATGCCACTTTGTTCTGTTGAGTTATTTTTAGCTCATCGCCTCTCGGACTGGTTCAGCTCTATAAAAAAAGGAGAACTTCTGCTTGTATTAGCCAAAGAATGAATATACTGTAGCTAAATGCCAGTGGAAACAAGACTAGTTCATTTTCAGTGGTGGAAAATAACAAAGTTCAAGTACAAATTTCAGGTATCTGTACTTTACTTAAAGGTGCATTGTGTAACTCCTCTGGTGGTGGGCTCGTCTCCTGCTTGTTTCTATAGCTATAGCTTTGTCCTTACTCTGCCTGGAATGTTCCACACTATGACATAACAGCTCTACTTTACATTTATTCAGTTATAGGTTAATTTATAGCTCAAAAATACCTAGAAAAACAGGCATTCTGACTGTGAGCGGGGTTGCCTGTCCACAGATCTGATATGTAACTGGTCTGAAATGGCGGAGACTTTCTTTTATTTAGCACATTTAATTTGAGTTAATGTCCTAACTTTGAGCGAAACAAACCAAATATACAAAAAAGCGAGAAAAATTAAGAAATCAATTGAATCACTTAAAATCTGCTCAGTTCTTTTTCAAAATCAGTGCATTTCATCCTTTAATTGTTCCAAAAATCTCTCCAAAATAAGTAAAGTACATTTTTAAAGAGGGTTTGAGGTCAACGTAAGTCTGCTGATAATGTCTGCATCTAATTCTAAAGCGTTCTTTTGTCCAAAAATTAGGAACTGTACCTTAGCTTGCTAATTGTTGCTTTACCGTGACAATAAAACTCCGCTTTGTTCTCTGAAAGTAGTGAAAAATGCTTATAAACTCATCATGGTGAATAATTAGGATGCATAAAGTAAGTGAGGAATGACTTTGAATTTTAAATTTTAAATCGATTTTAAAAGGCTTAAAATGTGAACTTTCAGCAGAATTCTATTATTAAAACATAATGGAATTATCAGATCAGAGCAAAGGTGGATACGTGCTTGGCAGCTTCGTGTTAATCAACAATAATTAACACTGAGCTCCTAAAAGTTGAGTGTGACCTAATTTTGTTGGTCCAGTGTTGAAGCTGCTAACCCTGTAGTTTAAACCTCGACAAACATGTGTCTTTATGGGGTCTTGTTAGTTTAGTAGTTTTTATTAGTCTGAAATATCCATGTTATTCAGTAAGAAAACAAAACACCAGCTGTACTTTTGAATATATGTAAAATGTGACCAATTAAAATACGACAGCTTTAATTTGCATATATATTACATTTTCCACAAACTGTTATTAGGTATTTCATCATCCAGCTTTAGTTATGTCCTTGCTGCAAAACTGAATCAACATGAACATGAACAGGAAGTGCCAAAGTGGCCGCTCTGTCAGACCCACTTAGATATTATTAGTGTGTACTGTTTTGGGTTTGAATGATTCAGTTCTCGAATTGCAAATGGGGAACTATAAGCATGAATTTTTTTATTATTATTATTTAAGCTAATTTTACTCAGAATAAAACTAGTCTGGAAAAGAGAGTTCACATTTCTTGCATTTTAAATTAAAACCAGCTCGTTTTTACTAGTATGCTAATATGCACATCCTGATTCTCGCTTTATATTTATATGCAGACAGTACACGGCTAATTTTGACCTTAAGACCTGCTTAAAGGGACAGTATTACGCTATTTTCTGATCTATGTTCTAATGTTGTTTTCTCATCACAAACAAACCTGGAGTTGTGTTTTGTTTCATTCACATGTTTAACAGTTCTTCTCTCAAACAGAAAACACTTTGTTCCACCTTGTGATTTCATGTGGTAATACAGGAAGTGCTCCACTGCGTTTTTAATGCACCACTTCATACACCCTCACTAGAATCATTGATAATTTCAGCCCTGGAGTTGCCAGTCTTTACTGAATAAAAGGTAAAATCTCCAAATCTCTCGGTACGATGTTTTCACAATATACATCTCACGGTACAATCTTTATTGCGATATTTTGTGGAGACTAAACAGCTAAAACTTTTAATATGTTACTGTTTCCTCTTAAAATACCTTGACAAGACTTAATCCAAAGAACTAAGACTTAAAAGTGCTTAGAACTGTTATTTCTTCTTGTAGTCTACACTGAAACGAAGCAAAGGATCACGGTCTATGTAGTTCCCTGTGTCTTTTTTTAGCTATTGCTGCACCATAACTCTTAATTTAAACAAAGAGACTTTTAATTCGATATGTTGTGATGGTCCACAATATTATTGTGAGAACTTTGACAATACGATATCATGATATCTCAGTTATTGTTACATCCCAGACATGTGTGAATGAAACAAAACACAACTCCAAGTGTGTTTTTGAGGATGTAACAGCATTTTTCAATGTCTTAAAGGTCACAATAGTCAGTTTTACATAATATAGGACCTTTAAATAATGTCTTTACTGGGGAGAGACAAAATTTGCTGAGATACTTGGAAAAAATATCAGGTACTGGAGCTTTAAGAATCATTTTTAATCTATGTATATTTTTGGCAGTGTACCTGAAATGTACTTGTGTCGTAACCACATTTTTTCAGTAGTTTTGGTGATTTTGAGTCAGATTTCCAAAGAAGTCTTCCCTGTCTTTCACTGTAAAAGCCCGGAGGCACATAGGGATTCAGGAGAAAGGCTGACCACAGAATATGGAAACATGGATCATATTTGTGTGTTTGGCTTTCAGGTGGAGAAGAGTCATGTTTACAGAAAAGCTGAAGTGTATTTGAAAAGCTTTCCGGGTGCAACCATTGATTATTTTAGTTGTCAACGAGCCAACAATTATTACTTAATCCGAATAATCCACTGATAGCGACTCTGTTATCAGTATTATCGCGCCGATACTGAAAAATTCCCTATATGGGGCATTGGCTTCATGATATCAGTTAAGGCAATGTTATGATTGAGCCTTTCATTGAATGTAATAAGACAGACTTATTTACAGGCTGATTTTCACCTAGAACGTCTCATGATGTTTAAGGAAATAAGTACCATTGTCCATACATTGGTTAATATCTGTCACCTACTTGTCTCCATGGAGATGTTATTACTTTGCCTTTGTGGTTTGAGACCTGCTGAAATGGCAGACTTTCTTTTTTTTTTTTTTTGCATATTTAATTAATAAAGTTTTAATGATTATGAATCAAGCCAATTTCACAAAAAGAGCTAGAAAAAATAAGAAATCAGCTGAATCTCTTAAAATCTGCCAAATTCTGTTTCAAAATCACTGCAGTTTATCTTTTAATTGTTCCAAAAATCTCTCTTAATACGCTTACTTTTTACAGTTAAAGTACATTTTTAAACAGGTCTTGAGGTCAAAGTAAGTCTACTGAATTCTAAAGTGTTTTTTGGGCTTAAGTGTATATTATAAACTCATCATGGTGAATTATTAGGATGGTCTAAATGCATAAGATAAGTGAGGAATGACTTTGGGCCGTATAAACTTGCTTAAAATGTGAACTTTGAGCACAGTTCTATTATTAAAACATAATCAAAACACAATGCTTGTCAGAAAAATGTTGTATGGAGTTGTGATGTTATTACTTTGCCTGAAATGTTCCATGGTATGACATTAAGTGCATCTATCTAGCATTTATTCATTCCAGGTGTTTCTGTTTCTCAAAAATGCAATAATTCCCTATCTGTGTGGTTGCCACTTCACAGATCTGAACTATAATTTAGCCTATAGTTGTTTTCCTTTAGATAGATTTTAGGTTTAATCTCTAGCGTGGAACATTGTAGACAAGCAGGTGATGGACCCTCCACCAGAAAAGTTGCGCAATGCACCTTTAAAGTCAAAGAATCAGTGTCAGTATCGGAACTCAAAAAGCTCGATCCCTACCTAATACTCCGACCCCGCACACACACACACACACACACACACACACACACACACACACACACACACACACACCTGCACCCCACCGCAGGACCTAAATACAACTATACTTACTGTATGGCTATTTAAATGTAAATTGGATCATTTCATTTTGGCATTTCAAATTTTAAACATGTCCAGGAGAACTGACAGGAAGTCGGAAATATGACCTGACAAATGAATACAAGAATTACATTTCAGAACATGTTTGGACTGATCTAAACTACAGGGTTAGCAGCTTTTATGTAGAATAAGACAGGAGATGTGTGTTTTGAAGGAAATGATGTTATGAAGGGATGATGATTTTGATTCAGTTGCAACAAATTGTGCAGCGCTAGAACATACAGAGAAGCATCGCTCACAGGAAACAGTCTTAACCTCATCAGTGACGCTGCGTGTGTATGCATCACTATAAGAGCCTTAGATATGTAATGTGTTATTTTCACTTAGCTGTGTACTGCAAATTATTACTTTTACACTGAACTATCATCAAATCCACTGCAGATAAATCTTTGTATTAGAGAGATCTGCAGCCGATTTTGTAGTAGGCAGTAAACGCATGTTGTTTGGAACAGACTGAATACTTGGGAGGAAGAAATCTGGTTATGAAAATATTAATTTGTTGTTCAAAATGCAGGTTTTGTGGTGTTTTTTTCATTACTTAATTGTATGGGATAGTACCTATAGTGAATATCATAGTTTACGTAAGTAGGGAAGCAGTTTGCAAAGAAAAGTTTGAAAAAGGTTGAAATAACAGGAAGCAGCGGTGAGTTTTAAAATGGAATTCCTCAATACATTTATGAAATCAGGGTTAATTGTGTAATACATGCGGTAATGTTTGTTTAGTGGCTACTTTAGAGGTACTTTTTAGTAGAGGTGGGACCATAGAGTCTTGAAAGAAGTGGACTAAGGGAGTGAGAAGTCACCCATAGTGTTTGGCTCCAGTCAAATGAAGCTCAGGAGTGAATTTGGAGCCGAATTTCATAGGATTTTTTTATGGACAAAATAACTAAATAAAACACCAGGATCTTGTAGAGTGAGTTAATAATAACATCTTAAGATGAAAATTACGAGGTTTATAGCTGCAGTTACAGAGAAAGGGGTGACAATTTTTCAATGTAAAGTCAATTGGAAATGGAGTCAGTGGAGCTGGAAGCGCACCTTTGCATCTTTTTTACAAATGCTCCTTGATTAATGTTTGTGGTGTGAGAGGAACTAAACTTCAAATTGAGTGACTGGGTTAATACAGTGAGTTTCACAAATGAAGTGTGTTTCTTGTTGTCTTTCGTGTCAAGTGCCTTAAGGATCTACAGCAGTTTCTCCATCCGGGAGCCTCATGTTGACTCTGTATTATTTCCATTGCAGGTTTTTAAACCTGAAACTGGTTTTGTCCTGGAGCAGTGACGAGTGCTCAGCGTGAGTGAGGAAGAGCCTCATACACAGAAAGAGCCCCAGACAGGGAAGCATGAGTCAGCAGAGCAGGTGACTACAGCAGGAATAAACTAAGACTAAACCAGGACTAAATCAGGATTTAACTGGGACTACACCAGCTCTAAAACAGGATTGAACCAGGTCTATACCAGGAACTTAATAGGGATTAAACCAGGTGACAGCAGCAAGACTAAATCAGGTCTAATACAATACTAAACCAGATCTAAACCAAGACTAAATCGAGTCTGAACCAGAATTAAACCAGAACTAAACCTGGACTAAGACTACCAGAACTAATCTTGGACTAAACAGGACTAAACCAGTTGACTGCATAAGGGCTGAACCAGGTATAAACCAGGATTATAGCAGTACTATACCTGGTCTAAAACAGGACTATTCCAGGATTAGCAGGTCGTATACAAGTACTATACCAGGAGATAACCAAATTTAAATCAGGACTAAGACAGAGTTAAACCAGGACGAAACCAGATCTAACCCAGGACTAAAGGACAGGACTAAATCAGATGCCTACAGTAGGTCTCTGGGTCAAAGTGCTCTGTAATTACAAAGGTATAATAGAAGGTGGGAAATTCCCTCTACATCATGGGACTACAGACTCATTTGGACCAGGAAAGGTCCAGTCTAGTTTTTCCAGTTTCATCCATGATGTCACATAACAGCTCCATAATCATTAAACCAGGACTAAACCAAGACTACAGACGGACTAAATCACGATTAAGCCAGGACTAAACCAGGGCTAAACCAGGACTAAACCAAGACTACAGATGGACTAATTCAGGATTAAACAAGGACTAAACCAGGGCTAAACCAGGACTATATCAGGATTAAACTGGGACTAAACTGGGACTAAACCAGGACTAAACCAAGACTACAGACTGACTAAATCAGGACTAAACCAGGGCTAAACCAGGACTATATCAGGAAACTACAGTATGACTCAATCAGGACTCAACCAGGTCTAAACCAAGACTACAGGTGGACTAAATCAGGATTAAGACAGGACTAAACCAGGACTAACCCAGAACTAACCCAGGTCTAAAACAGGACTATATCAAGAGACTACAGCAGGAATAAACCAGGACTAAACAGCAACTAAACCAGGTGACTACAGGAGGTCTGAATAAGGTCTAAACAAGGACTAAATGTGGTCTGAGTTCAGATTAGACAACAGAATTAAACCAAAACTAAACCAGGATCATTCCAGGTCTAAACCAGAACTATTACATTAAGGGGTCGGGTGAATCAGTTAACTCAAATCAGTGACATCACTTTAACAGCTGTGTGACAGTAAAAGGGGGGAGGTCTGTTTAAGTTAGCGCGCAGTGTGAAGTGTCTCTGAAGTGGCCTTAAGATCTCACGCTATGATAAACCACATCCACACACTCACAGTGGGCCCATAAACCTTCATTATCAGAAGTAGCCTCCCATGGTTCAGTTTCCAGGAAGGGCACTTTTATCTCTGCTTAGGTGGCCTGTATATGGTTTGCACTATGTAACATTTCAGGGTCCATCACATGCTTGTATCCACTGAAATGTTATTGCTTTGACTGAAATGTGTGAAATGTGAGTATGGCATTAAACATACATATCCGTGGAGACAAGCACAGGATGTCAGCAGGCCAAGTTACAGGTCAGATATGTGTAGAGGCGACAGTAAAAAGCATTTTCCAATATAATAACTCTTGTTTTTGAGTATATAAAGAGAAAGAGAATAATTTTAATGCCTACTTTGGAACTAGAACCCACAATAAAATCTTTATAGAGACTAGTGTATTAAAGTATTGAAGTACTGAAAATCAGACACTAAAACTAATATAGGCCACTAACAATGCAAAAAAATCGCATTAATGGGGCAAAATTTGAGCTTTCCTGAAGTAATGATGTGAAATGATTTTGATCAGAATGAATACTAGCCGTATCAGCGCTTTTTGCCGCTTTTTGCAGATTTTGCCAGAAATTTTCAAAAAAAGATTACTGTATTGGTCCAAGCGATGTCACAATAATCCTCAATGTTTTCAATATTGTCCAAAAGTAAAGTACAAATATCCAATAAAGTCCAAAAACAATATCCAAAAGTGTGTGGGCATTTCAAGCGTGAACCACACAGCTGTCAATGAATACTATTATTTGGTATATGAAACTTATATTACTAAAAAAGGAGATCTTTTTTCCATTGTGGTATCATAATCACCATTGGCTATTGAGTGAACTTCTTAGTGTCGAATTATCAAATTGAGTTTGGAATCTTAGTATCATGACACCAACACTACTGGAGACAACATGAAACATGTGGCAGTCATGACTTGTGTGAGTAGGGTGACCAGATTTTCAAAATAAAAAACTGGGACATTACTGGTTTGTGGTGGTTGGCAATAACAAAATTGTGAGTGCATAATTAAGGAAAATTGTTCTGCACTCAGCTCTAATGTGAGTCAGTATAGTCGTTTTTCTTTGTGTTTTGGTCATTTTTATGCAGCATTTCTGAATTTTATAAATGACAATGTATGCCTCTCTTTACTGTTGGCAGATTGGTAAAAAATAGAGACATCTGGAACATTAATTGTATAAATTGGGACAAATCACTGGTTTTGGATAAATCTGCTGGGACAGGGGATACAGGGCTCAACACTGTGACTGTCACGGGTAAATAGGGACATCTGGTCACCCTATGTGTGAGTGTTCATAATTTGTCAACTCAGGAAAAACATTTTTCCGAGTTCCCAAGGATCATTTGAGTGCGTATTGGAAAACATTGTTTAGGACAGAACTGTAACTTACACTTAGCATGGTAACAGAATACACACATTTTAGATTGTTTGAAACTAAAAACTAAAAAATCTGTGGTTTTAAAGAGAATTGGGAGCCTGTGATCAATATGAGCATTCAGTTGTGTTTAGGAGTTTGATTTTCAACCAAAGGGTGAGTGACTAACTGAAAAACTGTTGCCTAATGCTAGCTTGCTTGTAACGGTAATGTTATGTGGCAGTTCTATTCATGGGTTTCAGCTTCCTCTAATATTTAACCATTTAAGGACTTTTTCCCCATTCAAAATATATACTATATTGTTTTAAATTGTTAATCACTATGGCAGTGGTTCTAATTTCTCATCATTCTGACACCCATGGTTAGTTATTTCAGATACACAAATCAGATCACCTGTAGTTAAAAGACATCCATAGAGTTATTTTCATTAACCCTGATCTTAGTATATTCTGCTTGTTCCACAGATTTCTGACTGAGTAAGCCTTGACTACCTCCACCATGGACGACGCGGACAGCAACCCGTCCCATGCGGCATTTGAGCTCTTCACACAGGCTCAGACCTTTAAAGAGGTCCAACATCACTTCTCTGAGCTGTGCAAACATCTGGAGATAAACCCTAAAGACTACAGGAACTTCTACAGGACACTGAAAGACAAACTCAACTCATGGAAGGCCAAGGCCATGTGGAGCAAGTTTGACAAGAGAGCCTCACATCCAGACTACCAGCAGGGCAAAGTCTGTGCCAAGAATAAGGTACTACTGTCTCTCATTGTAGGGCCCATATTACGCTGCAATGTTTCCTCATCACAAACATCCCCGGAGTTGTGTTTTGTTTCATTCACATGTGTCTCTTTTCTCAAACTGAAACCCTCTGTTCCACCTTGTGAAGTCATGTGGTAATATAGTGATCTTAAGCTCCATACATCTTTAGATGATTTCTGCTCTGGAATTGCCAATCTCTACTAAACTAAGGAGCTGTTAATTTGACAACTGCTGCCTCATGACATCACAAGTTAGAACAGAGCATTTAGATTGAAACAGACTAATAATAAAGGATTGCTCAAACATGTGTGAATGAAACAAAACACAACTTCAAGATCACAAGAGTCAATTTTGTATAATAAGGACCTTTTGAAAGAGTGACCGTAATGAGCAAAATATAAAGCAATATTCATGGGTCTGAGGCATAAGGATGTCTTTCTGATCTGAAGGATCTGGTATGTTGTTCTAACAATAAAGCCAACCAAATCAAAATATAAATGTTTTTAACAAAGAAAGTCCCTCAAAAATCCTTCAAATCAGGAACAAATCATTATCCTGAAACCCATGGATAGAAAGCATGCATAAAATAAAGTGTTAGAAATAAAGTTTTGACTAAATAAAAATACAAGAACACACAACTAGCAGTGCAAAATGCATATGGATGTAAATAGAAGAAACATCTCCATGGAGACAAGAGGGTGGCAGACCCTCCACTAGAAAAAATTACCTGTTGTGTACATTTAACTATGTGATTTATTTGAAAAATTGGAGAATCATTCACTGATAAATATGATTTCTGTTCATATTCGGGTTGTCAGAAGTATCAAAAATCTGATACAAATTGATACTAAAACTAGTATCGAAACAAGAAAAAAAAAACACCTCATATCTGGATAAAATGTGACCTTTTCTGAACAGTTTCATCTTGTATTTTGTCAGAACTAGTGTCAGACCACATGGTGATAAACAGATACTATTGTGTTGTGTGGAAAATACAAGATGCTTTAGTATCGTAATCAAGTTTGTAATGTTAGTATCGTGACAACACTAGTACATATTACAGATGATTCTAAATACTGGCTTGTTTCAGTGCCTAGTGTTGGGGGCTGGACCATGTGGTCTGAGGACAGCCATAGAGCTGTCTCTGCTCGGAGCCCAGGTCGTGGTGATCGAGAAGAGAGAAACTTTCTCCAGAAACAATGTGCTCCACCTGTGGCCTTACACAATCGTAGACCTGCGTAACCTATGTGCCAAGAAATTCTATGGGAAGTTCTGCAGCGGAGCTCTGGACCACATCAGTGAGTGGGGTCTATATCTGTAACACTGTCCCTTTGATAGTCTCTAGTCTCTAGTGAGTCTCTAGTGATGTGGGCATTGAAGTTTTGGTTTTGATTTTCTGGCCCAAACTATTCAGATGGGATTCAGTGACTGAACAAGGAGTAAATTGGGGACTAGACAAGGGACTAGACAAGGGACTAGACCAGGGACTAAAAGCAATTAAAATTAGAGAGACTAAATCAGGGTCTTACAAGGTCTAAAGCAGAAACTAAACCAGGAATACACAAGGAACTAAACCAGGACTACACTGAGAAATCAGCAGTTAATCAGGGACTAAACCAGAGAGAAAACCAGAAAATAAACCAGGACTAAACATAAGTACAAGGATGATCCTACTGACGCCAAATTTCTTGGAATTATTGATAGTCCAGGTTTAGTTCTTGTTTAGTCCTGGTTTAGACCACCTACCCTCATCTGCATTGGCAATAATATAGATCACAATATTAGTCCGGGGCAGTGTTTTTTTTATAGGCTTATAGGTTAAATTTGTATACCTGTGTCTGCTTTCAGGCATCCGGCAGCTGCAACTGATCCTGCTGAAGGTGGCTCTGCTCCTGGGGGTGGAGGTGCACTCTGGGGTGGAGTTCCAGGGTTTGGTGGAGCCCTCTGGAGAAAATGGTATTTTTTATTTTTTTTTACAAACATGGGGCTCTGTTTAAAGTTCATATTTTAAGTCCTTTAACATTTGAGAGAAGACTGAAATCTGAACTACCTAACTAATCCAAGAATCCCATGTATTTCAGAACAAGTTACAGTGGGGCGCTAGTGGCAAAAAACTGTTGTTGTGTCCTTAGGCAAGACACTTCACTCACATTGCCTAGTATGAAAGTGTTGTGAGCGTGAGTGATGGTGGTGGTCGGAGGGGCTGATGACGCAGATTGGCAGCCTCGCTCCTGTCAGTCTGTCCCAGGGCAGCTGTGGCTACAGTAGTAGTTTACCACCACTGAGTGTGGAGTGACTGAATAATGAACTGTGAAAGGCGCTATATAAATGCTATCAATCAATCAATCAATCAATGTTTGTAGAGGCTTAAACTCTGCTTTTATACTTACTAAGATATTTTTCTAGTATTAAACTCTTCATAGTGGCATTTCACTGCAACAATCATCAGTTTATTATTGAAAAATTATTTAAAGACATTTTTAACAGGTATAGTCCAGTGGTAGATATTATTCCAATAATAATTGCAGTACAGAGCCATGGGTGGAGATGGGGGGTAGGTGAAAATCAAAATGTTCAGAGCTTTCAAACCTCAAATGCAAGACTGTACCGGATTACTCAAACACACATGAATGTGACTCTAAGCTAATGATGAGGCTCAAAAGCTCATAACACCTGATTTTACATATGTCCCCTTTAATGTCCTGTTTTAGGCTGGATGGTCCAGATAAATCCTGCGTCTCACCCCGTCTCCTCGTATCAGTTTGACGTGTTCATCTCTGCAGCAGGAGGCAGCTATCGCCCTGAAGGTCAGACCATATAAAGGAAAGGGGTCAATATAACTATGGACTGGAAATATAAATAATGTTACAATTTTAATTAGGGAACTGGGGAGGAAGGGGGGGTGGCGTCACACTTGAGCAACATTTGAAAAACAATCACAAACAATACAGTCTCTGTATTTCTCTTTCCTTGGAAAATCCTCTATACAAACTTTAATCTCAATGGGACTGTCCTGGTTCATAAGTGTTAAAGAAATAATAAAAAAGATTATGAATTAGTGTCTTGCTTTCAATGCTTTTGACACCCTTAGCTCTGAATGACGATTGTTCACTTGTTTATTTGTTTATTTCACAGGGTTTAAAGGAAAGGAGCTGAGAGGGAAACTGGCCATTGGAATCACAGCTAACTTTGTGAACAGGCACACGGCAGCTGAGGCCCAGGTGGCAGAGATCAGCGGAGTCGCACGCATCTACAACCAGAAGTTCTTCCAAGACCTGCTCACACAAACTGGTGAGATGTCTATACAGAGTTTAAAGTTTTTGAAATGATATGAGTAAACCTGATCAAGTATGTGGAACTTTTTGTTGTAGTTGTGGAGACTAGAGGTAGACCAGTATAGACTCCAGCATATTTTTTTTGTCCCACCAACTGTGTAAATAAATATGTATAAACAATATATGCTATAAGCTTTATGTGAACACTTCAATACAAAGAGGGTACTGTAAAAATGTCACTAGCAAAACTTCCAGATGTATAATTCAAAAAAACATGATTTAATGGCCCTATATTATGCATATTTGACTCTTGTGAGCTTTTGGCCATGTTAGAATGTTATTACCTCATCGAAAACATACCTTGAGTTTTGTTTTGTTTCATTCTCACATGTTTGAGTAATCCTTTATTTCTGGTCTGTCTGCATCTCCAAAGCTTAAAATGCTCTGTTCCACCTTGTGATATTATGAAGTGGTAGTTTTCAAATTAACAGCTATCTTTTCCCTTTTGCTCAGTAGAGATTGGCAATTCCAGGGCTGAAATTATCCAAATAAGTCTACTGAATGTGTATGGAGTTTCTTTATTAAAACATGCCATCACAAGGTGGAACAGTGTTTTCCATTTGAGAGAGGAACTCAGCTGGGTTTGTGTGTTAAACATGTGAGAATGAAATAAAATACAACTGGTAAATACAAATAGGTGTGTTTGTGATGAGGAAACAACATCATAACAAAGATCAGAAAATAGTTTAGCAGTAAACTTTAACATGTTTTAACATTTTGGTTTTGAAAAAAATAAGGGAAGCGTTTTTTCTCTGCTTGTTCCTCTGTTGTAACGCTGCTTCAACAGATTCCATCTTTTACCACTCAGTTTGAAATAATGTGTTCCCAGATTGATGATGCACTCACAACAACACATGGGTCTGTCTTCTGCGGGTTCCTGTGCTGTGGTTTGCAGACAGAACATCGCTGTGTCTGTGCTGTTGGTGAAACGTGTGAATGAGCAGAAGCTGTAGAGTGTGCCACAGGAAATGAACATACAGAGAAAATATTCATTTGTTAGTAGTTTTAACCAGGGTAAAGATAAAGGATAATGTATACTTTATTGCCCCTGTACATTGTGTATTTTTCTATTTGATTGGTGAAAGCACACATGCAAATTCCAGAAAGGTCCCACTCGGAAGTTGAAGCCTGGACCTTCTTGCTGTGAGGGTTGAGTCCTTGCCTGCTTCAGCCACTGTGCGGCCACATAGATACAGATGCCGAGTCTGCTCAGGTCACTTTCACACTTTCAGGATATTTCAGTTGCGTAACAATATTTTCATTTCCCTCCAAAAAAAAAACAACAACTCACACCCAAAAAAGACTAAAGCCAAAGACAGGTAAATGTGAATCCTACAGGTAAATACATTTAAACTTTAAAAAACACAAAATACTAGGAGTCTACATCCAAGGAGTTTGCAAATTGTGAAACTGGTCAAAAATACATTCAAATGTTCAGACTTCCTGTTGATGTCATCTCTTTTTCTCATTTCCTTCCCTTGACTCAATTGGATGCAAAGTTAAATGTGATGTAATTTGTAAAACCACAACATGAGAACCAGAAAACATAAGGATCATTATATGAGCCTAGTGTCTCAATACTGTACAAACACTGAAAAGTTAAATTATAAACTTAAAGGCCCTGTATCACATTGTTTCTCATGTATTAAAGTCTTGCTCGAATACAGAAATATTGTGCAAGCAGCTCTTGAGGTCAGAGTAAGTCAGCTGTTTATAAAGGGTTGAACTGTGCAATAATCAGGAATTGTGTATTAACATGCTGGTTGTTGCAAAACTCTGCTCTTGTCACTAAAAGCTGTGAATAGTAAAGATGATTTGAATGCATAAGGCAAGTGAGGAATAACTTTGGACCTCTGCAAACTATTTGAAATGAGTTAGTTCTGCTTTTTTAATAATAACAATATTGTTATTTTCCACCTCCAGGTATTGATTTGGAGAACATTGTGTACTACAAAGACGACACGCACTATTTTGTGATGACAGCCAAGAAGAAGAGTCTGCTGAAGAAGGGCGTCATTAAACAGGTGAGTGGGCACTGCTGAAATACACAATAATTATTACATGGATACTTCCTCTATCTGCAGACAGTAACTCTAACAAGAGTCGAGTTTTTATTCATTTAAGATGGATATTAAACTCTACAACAGAAATAACAGGAGCAGGTGTACAGCTATGCTCTGTCCTTGTCCCTGTTAGCAAACTAGGCTGTAGTTCACTGCCCTATAAAAAACATTGTAAGAATGGGTACAACATGATTTGACCTTAGAAAGAAGTCAGCTGTGGGCTATTCCTGAATATAACCCCAAACGAAAATGCAAGCTACTCAGAACCCATACTGAATAATGTAATTCATGCCTTCTTTGATAACATTAGTACAAAGCAAATCAAATTATTTATAAATTGTAGTAGATTATGTTTCATTTGACCAAGTTACAATTTTAAGTGAATAACACGTCATCTGCTTGTCTTTTGCCTGAATTGTTCCACAGTATGGCATTTAATTCCATCTTGCATTTATTCTATTACAGAAAAAAAAAATGCTAAAGCAATATGTGCATTCTTACAGTAAGTGGGGTCGCCTCTCCACAGATCTGAACTTGGCCCAATGGTGGGCCACCTGAGATAAATAACAGATACCATACTGTGGAAGATTTTAGGCAAAGCTATAGCATCTCCATGGAGACAAGCATCCATATGTCATGTGTGCTGCCTCAAATTTTTTTTTTATTGTACGATAATTTATAAATGTGTGTTAGCATGCTAGTTGTGAGCTTTTATGGTCTCTGAGAATTGTGAAAAGTGCCTATAAACAAATCACGGTGAATAATTAAGATGCTCGGAATGCATAAGATAAGTGAGGAGTAGCTATGGACCACTGCAAACTGTTTAAAATGAACTAGTTCTGTTTTTTCACTTTTTTAAGCCAGTAAAATCAGGTCCTGTGCCTTTAATTGTAACTTGTATTAAATTGTCCCATCTGTGCTCAGGACTGTGCAGATGCAGAAGACCTCCTGGCCCGGTCAAACGTGGACTATGAGGCCCTGTGCCAGTACGCTCACGATGCCGCAGACTTCTCCACCGGAGGAAAACTGCCCAATCTGGAATTCGCTCAGAATTACAAAGGGAAGAAGGACGTGGCCATGTTTGACTTCACCTGTATGCACCGAGCAGAGAATGCATCGATGGTGAAGGAGAGGAGGGGCAAGAAATTGCTCATTGCTCTGGTCGGGGACTGTCTTATGGAAGTAAGGATAAATATATAAGAGTTTCCTTTAACAGTGGTTGGATTAAAAATATTAGTTTTGTTTGCACTGCCAGTCAAAAGTTTGGACACCTTTTCATTTCTGTTTTTAGCTGAAGGCATCAAAACTATGAATGAGTACATAGAATTTAGTAAACAAAACAAAACTCTAAATAAGTAAAAAATTTTGGTTTTAGATAAAAAAGATTTTTTTTTAATTTGGGTTGCTCTTTTAGCATTTCTTGACCCTTACAGGGCACAGCTGAGAAGTGAAAACCATTATAGGAGAGTTCATCATGAAGCTCACTGGGAGAAGGCCAAGGGGTTGCACTGTTGTCAACAAAGCAAAGGGTTGATGCTTTGAGGATTTGAACATCAAATATAAAACAATATTTAGTTAGTTATTCAACATTTTTTACTACATAATTCCATCTTGCTGCATTGGGGTTATCCCAGAGACACTGAAGGATGGGTCAAATGCAGAGGACAGTTTAGTCTTGTTTTGTTTTTGATTGTATGTTTATAACCCCCAGTGTAGAGATGGTTGAGTTGGCATGTATATAATTGGGTCCTCTCTAAGTATCACATGTTGTTTGTCCAGCCTTTCTGGCCTCTGGGGACGGGAATCGCTCGTGGGTTCCTCGCAGCATTTGACGTGGCCTGGATGGTGAGGAGCTGGGGCCAGGGCACTCCTCACCTCAAGGTCCTGGCTGAGAGGTGAGTGTGTTAAAACAGCTGTTTTTCAGGTCAAAGGCTATTCATTTGCAGATGTTGTGGGGTTAAAGAATATAGCAGCAGGATAAAAGATTAAGTTTTTGTCTTTCTCATTTGAGAGAAATGACAATTTGAATGGACTCAGTTTGCATATCTCAAACCATAGTATCATAATTTCCTTCACAAACAAAAATCTTCTGTCTTATTCTTCAAAAAAACGGCTCACCCTGTAGTTTAGATCTGTACAAACATGTTCTGTCAGGTCATATTTCAGTCTTTTTGACAATTCTTGTGGACGTGTTTAAAATCGGATTTATCAAAGTTCACATTATTCAAACAGAAATCGCGAATCAAATCCCAATTGCAAAGCTTCAGAGAAAATGCAGTTAGATATTCTTCCCAAATAATTCTCAAATCATTGCACACTCTTTATTACTTCCTCTCAACCAGATGGTCCTTGGTTTTATTCCTGGTAAATTAAAGGCAGTTGATAAGAAATATAAATATGTAATTAATCTTACACAATCTGAAGACTAACTAATTCAAACACCATGTAATTACAGTTCTGACTCTGTTATATTGTACTGTTTTTGTCCGCTAGTATTTGCCCTGTCCTTATCTTATCTGTGCTGCATATGGAGCTCAACAGTGACTGTCCACCTCCGGGAAGTAAAATTCTCATTTATTTTTCGCAAAGACTTTCAGAAATAAATTACTAATAAAAGTTTGCTCAGGGCTAATTCGCTATGTGGAAACTATTGACCACAAGACCTGTCATTTTATGCAAAATCTTAAGTTATTAAAATTTTTGTTGAATCTTGTCTTTTAAATGAATCGATTTTTGGACTTAAAACAGCTGTGTTATTGGTAGTACCACATAACTGGTCAACTTCTTCATGTCTTCAAACTGTCTGGGTAAAAATCTGGGTAAAATTAATGGAGATTTTACTTCCAGAACCAGAATGGACTTCAAAGTGGGCGGGGCTGTTGAGCTTTATTTGTTGTTATCACGCAGTCACAAGTTACATGATCGTTCCAGGAAAGTCCTATGACTAATGTGTCATTTACTGTTTAACAGGAAAAACTGTGCAGGTCTAAATCATTTACTACCTTCATGGTACAGCTCTTTATCACCAGCACAGATAATGCTTTTCACTTTCAGTTTCTTTTCAGAATTCTGCTCAGATATGAATCTCTCACATTTTCAATTTGCATTTTGTACTTTTTTAAAATGCCCAAGGCCTACCATACCTGATGCCATTTTTTGTTTTTATAAAAAGTGACATAAATAGGACAAAGTTGAAGCTTTCCTAACAAGTTTTCAAACTCCACATCATAATATTAAAGGAACTACTATTATTTTGTTTTAAAAATGCATTGTCTTGTCTTTTCTTTAGTATTAAAATTGATAGTGAAAATTCTGTTCCATGATATTAATGTTTTCTCCTAATAGGGAAAGTGTGTATCAGCTCCTGTCTCAGACCACTCCAGAAAACACCAGTAAAAACTACGCCAACTACAGCATCAACCCGAAAACACGGTACCAGAGTGTCAACCTGTCCTCCATCCAGGCTCACCAGGTCAGCACTGATTTGTACTGAAGTAAATGTCCCTATGTCTCCATGGGGCCTTACTCTGTGTAAGCTGCTGACCCTGTAGTTTAGACCTCTACAAACATGTTCTGAAATACATGATTGTTGTATTAGTTTAGCTGTGAATAATGAGATGGCTTATTTTTATCACATCTCTCAAATGGAGAAAACTTCTCTTAAACATTCAGAGCAAATTGTAGAGCTGTTTTTTACCTAAAACTTCAGGGATGCACCGATCCAGCTTTTCCTCTTCTGATATTGATGTTGATACTTCGGCTTTAAGTGTCTGTTGATACTTGATATCAACAGACACCATTGGAGTGACTGATTTCCAGATATGTTTTGCAACTGTTGATTGTCATTTAAAGTAACTACAGGGCAACTTTGAAAAATATGACTTAATATTATATGTTATTATAAATAATAAAAAATAATACTTGGGCCAACATTGTCCAGCACATTTAGTGCTTGAGTGCCAGAGTTAAGTGCTTCCATTGCTGATTCTGCATAAATTCAGTTTACGATTTGTAGATATGTGTGATCTTGGGTGGCAGAGCAATATTTAAATATAAAACTGTGCAAGTGCAATTGTCATGTTACATTGTGTCACTCTGATTTTAAATTAGCTTTTCCACCCTCTACTGGCAGATTCTTGTATATACAATTTCATCATCGGAATTATTTTATTCACTAGTTTTACAGTTAAGCTTCATTCAAATTCTATACACAAAACTAAGAATTGTATTGACATTGACGTTTTAGTATTGTTTGAATCTCCGTCTAATGCATAGTATCATTCTTCTCCATAGAAACTACAGCAGCACAAACCGGTTTCTTGTGTGTTTTCAGGTTCAGCATCTCTATGACACAGACAAAGGCGGCTCTCTGAACAATAAAGTGAAAAACAAACTCAATCCTATGAGACAAGGTTGGTTTCTTTTAGTTGTGCTAATCTCTATTGTATTTTAATCTCACTGTTTTTTATTTTTTTGTAGTACTGAAAAATAAGAGAAAAGTCTAGACAAAAGGTCCAAGGGAAGCAAAGTAACTACGGACATTATCTTATCACATTATAAGATCTGAAAGCAACCCAAAAATCCAACAATGTTAAATCTGATCATTTTTATTAGTGAACCACTCCATTGTATCACTATGCTATCTGTTTTATCCAATTCCACCACAAACTATACAGAGTAACCATTTACATTTGAACTGCAACCAACTCCATTAAACATAGCTACAGGCCTGTAAGTGTAATGGTACCCTCAACCTGCATGTCATTGCCTGATTTCATCTAATCTCTTAAACTGAGCAGGGTTGGGTCTTGTTAGTACCAGAAGCGGGCAGCAGTGGCTCTCTGTGCAAACTGTTGTTGTGTCCTTCTGCAAGACACCTCACCCACATTGCCTAATATGAATGTGGTGTGTGTGTGAGTGTTGGTGGTGTTTGGAGGGGCCTATCCCAGGGCAGCTGTGGTTACAATAGAAGCTTGCCACCACCTTATATGGAGTGTTTGAATAATGCACTGTAAACCTTTTTGGGTGTCTGTGCTCTATACAAATCCTATGCATTATCATTATTATTACTAGATACATTCCACAACACACTGATCTGTGCGTCAACAACGGAATAAGCAGAACAATCAAACTTTGTTAAATCCAACTGAGAGATAAGACAGAATGTATTTATGTTAACTGTCTGATTTTATTGTTTTTCTCTTTAAACTGATGCGAACAAAATGTTAACCATACAGCAGGCACACGCCAATATGGATTCTCGTGAGTTTTTGGACTCACAAATATCTTGAGAATCCATCTGCGCAAGATTAACAAACCAGTATATACAGAATATGAGTTTAAAATTAGCATTAGTTATCGTCTCACATATTTTATTAGCTTTATAAATACATAAAAAATAGTAATATTAATGAAATAGTGTCATATGGTTTGTTGTAGATTCTACGAGTGGTTTTGAGGAGCTGCTGAGGTGGTGTCAGAAGCACACTGCCGGCTATAAAAACGTTCATGTCACAGACCTCACTGAGTCCTGGAGGTCTGGTCTGGCTCTGTGCGCACTCATCCATCATTTTAGACCCAAGCTCATGTGAGTACAGACACGTGTACACTGATACAGGAATGGTTTTATGTGGAGTTGTGTTGTTGTTGTGGAGTTTTTCTTCTGCAAATAAAAATTTTCAATATTTGTCTTGTTGTTTTAGTCAATGTAAACATTTTAAATCAACAGAAAGGGCCACTCATAATAAAGTTCACATTAACTTAAGTAAAATCATAACAAAACTGATGTATTTATTTATTTATATATAACAAAAATATAATTTATTGTTGTCAAGAAGTGTGCTGCTAACATGTTAGTTTTTGTTGGCATTACCTTGATGGGCAAAACTGGTGTGAAAAGTGCTTGTGGTGTATAATTAGAGTGCTTGGAAAGCATTAGAACCTCTGCAAACCCTTTAAAATGAACTAGTTCTGTTTTTCAAGTTTTTAAGACAGTAATGAGGTACAGTGCCTTTAAACCAATGCACATATTGTTTCCCACAGAGACATGTCCAGCCTGAGTGAGTCAGACCCTGTGTTGAACCACCATCTGGCCTTCAGCCTGTTGGAGAAGGAGCTGGGTGTCCCTCGGGTCATGTCTCCAGAAGACTTCACCAGTGGAGCCCAGGTCGACAGACTGTCCATGGTCCTGTATCTGACCCAGGTGCAGAAGGCCTTCACAGCGCCTCCTAAAGGTGAGAGCAAGTCTAAACCCCATTGTGAAACAATTAGGGATGTGCCGTTAATACAATAGGCTCTATTCACGCTTATGTCATTGTTATCTTCATCTTACCACTGATGACATTTACTTCAATGGGTTTTATCACAGTTGCACGGCGAGCGCAGTGTTGGGAACTATACCGGATGTTGACATCACATGTTTCCAAATGTCTATCTGGTTTGTGACGTAAGCATGCATAGAGCCTATTTTAACGAGATCAAGATTCAGTCATTAAGGGCCAATGGTCAGTTTGGGTGTTTTTAGTGGAAAGGTCTACAGCCAATCCTGTGTCAGTAAAGCATGTGGTTTGGAGCAGAGTTCAGAATTTGGCAAAGAAAATTTGCCATTTCTTGTGTTAAATGACAATAATGAAAAGTCTGCATTGTTCAATTTAGGAAATGCAGGAAATAAAAAATGAAAGCCATTTTTATTCATTTGTAATGAGACAAAATAAAACTGAATCAAAAGTTGTGAAAAAAATTCAGCTAGTGACATCAATAATGAGAGTAAAATACTGTGTACACTGATGTATGGTGTATGTGTGAGTGGCTCGTTGTTGTAAAGTGCTTTGAATGCCTTGAATGTGGAAAAGCTCTATATATAAAATGTGACCAGTTACAATGACCATTTAAAATAAAATAAAAACAATTACAAATGTTTTTATCTTTTTAAATACCTTGAAAACAGCATCCTTGCTGTGAGGGGAACTGCCTCTCCATAGATCTGAACTTGGCCGTCTGCTTGCTTCTATAGAGAGTTTATTATTTTGCCTAGATTGTTCCACAGTATGATTTTAACTGTATCTATCTCTTATGTCAAGCAAGCTTCAAAGTTATACAGTGGAGCTTTAAGAAATTTATTGCACTATACTTTACAAATGGCTGACTAAATTAAGTTGGAAAAGTATCTGCTATTGTAACATTTTCAGGCAGATTTTGTAAAGTTGTTTGCTACATATTTTTGAATTTCAGTGTTCAGTTCACAGTTCATTCTAAATTCATCCAGGAGCATTAATATTTGATAGAAGACTGAAACCTGAACTGACAAACTAATACAAGAATCCCATGTATTTTACCACATGTTTGTAGAGGTCTAAACTACAGGGTTACACTGAATAAGACAGAATAGAAACTCTGACACATTTAATTTTTGGCAGAGGACATTATATTAATTAAGTATTTTAAAAATTTGCTATTTTGCTTCCAGTCAAATTACAATTTTAATTAGATTCCTTTCAGTCCTTTGGCCTTATTTTATTTGAATACGCTGAGTGATTCTTTTGAAATTAAATGGTCTTTCAAAGTGGAGGAAGTGACAGATCTTACATAAGAACGTTGCCTAGATACACACCGCATTAGCATCTTCTTAAAGGGGCAGGCGCACTGTCCTTCCACTGTAATGTGTTTACTGTAGATGAGTGCGAATTCAGCACTGTGTCCTTTAAGAGACTGTTACCAAGAATATTACAGTGTCTAGTTTTTCTATTTAGAACAAACTTTTGTGGGTTTTATATCACATTTTCTTTTAGAATTTTGGAATAAAAGACACATCACAGAACAGAATTGTAAAGCATTTTTATATATGGTAAAGAATTGTATTAATTTTAAGGAAGGAAATGAAGGCAGCTGGTTTGACCAAAATTAACATATAATTTTTTGTTCTGCTATTTGGTTGACCATGTTGTGGTTAAAGGAGCACTATGTAGCACTGCTAATGGAGGGCCCGCCACCTGCTTCTCTCCATGGTGGTATATCAATTTTAAAAACAAAATTCCAAAGTATGGCATTATGCAAATCAATCTCCATGGATACAAGCAAGAAACACAACCTGGCCAAAAGTTATCCCACCCACAGCAAGAATGTATGTTTTTCAAGGTATTTTTGCATAATAAAAACACACAAAAAAATAGATATGTTTAATGCCATACTGCGGACAATTCCAGGCAAAGAAATAACATCATCAGACAATGAGGTAGACTCCAACAAGAAAGGTAACATAAAGATATATAATAAATATATAAATTATAAATAACATTCAGTTAGACTGTAAGAGTAATCACAATTGAATCTAATTTGCATTTTCAATAGTAAATGGTAATGGTAAATGGTCACATGGTCTCATTTTTATATAACGCCCTTTCCACCTTCAAGGCACTCAAATCAACACACATTCATACACCAGTGTACGCAGACACTAGGGCTGAGGTGGGTTAAGTGTCTTGCCCAAGGATACAATGATAGCATCATCTGTGGCAGCCGGAATCGCACCGCCAACCTGTGGCTCAGTGGCTCTGACCACTCAACCAATGATGACTATGTCGAATCGCCAGCTTTCAGATCACTGGACAAATGCTCTACCAATTGAACTACTGTCGCCCCAATAGTCACATTTAGCAAAAGCTTAGATTATTTCGGTTATTATTATTCCTCTGCAAAACCCCCTTATCTCCATGGGGTCTTATTCTGTATAAAACTGCTTTCCTTTCTACAAATAACAGTGCAATAGTCATAATAGTTAAGTAGTAGTCTTCTCTCAAATGTGTATTCTTCTGGATGTGTTTAAAACATGGTGTAAAGTGGCATTTTCCATTACGGCTGCACATTTAATCCTAATCAAAACACTAAGACTGCAGTTATTTTAATAATAGAAATGTCCTCAGCAAAGAACAAAAGATCCTCTCTATTTATAGAAAAATCTTGTTGTAGTTTAGACTTCTGCAAACACGTTCTGAAATGCAGGACTCTTGTATTAGTTTAACAGTTCAGATTTATTATTTATTTACAATGTGCACTCTAAACAGAATAGTATTTTTTAAACATTTTGTCTCAATTCTAATACTACCTGATGAGCTACCTGATATAAATATGATTTTTGTATCACCTATTTTGCTAAATTGACTCTTGTGAGATTTAAGCCATGTTCTAATGTTGTTATCTCCTCAAAAACATACCTGGAGTTGTGATTTGTTTCATTTATTCATGTTTGAGTAATCCTTTATTATCTCTCTGTCTATATCTCCAAAGCTCAGATGCTCTGTTCCACCTTGTGATGTCATGAAGCTTTAGTTTTCAAGTTAACAGCTCCTTTTAGCTTTAGTTCAGTAGAGATTCATCCAAATGATTGAATGAAGTGAAGGAGTATGGATTTTTAAAACACACTGGAGCACTTCCTGTATTACCACATGATATCACAAGGTGGAAGTGAGTGTTTTCTGTTTGAGAGAAGAACCTATATATGCAGGATTTGAGTGCTGAACGTGTGTGAACGAAGCAAAACACAACTCCAGATATGTTTTTGATGGGAAAACAACATTATAACATAGACCAGAAAATTTTGTAAATATAGGACCTTTAATTTTTTCATATATTGCATATCTTACCACAATTTTTGCCAGAATTATCACAGAAACATTATCTTTTTCAGCCTTATATTGCATTGCACTGATAGAACATGATGCAGAGGAGCGAAATAGAGGCACTGCCCCTTTAAGATCCCATTACCCACAATCCCCCGGTTTTAAGTGGCTGTTGGTGCCTTGCTCACTGCTCACAGACAGGAGCAGTGTTCTGTGCATGCACCCTGCCTCAGCTGCGTAAAATGGGACTAGCAGCTTGAAAAGGCTAATTCCGCTCCTCAGAGGATTCCCCGGCATTGGTTTGTATGTAATTTAAGAGCGGTTATTGTGTAGCATTTGGGCTCCAGTGTTGCTGAATGGTGAGAGTGGGTGTGAGAGATGCAATGCTGTTTGGTCTGCCACTGATGTGAACCAGAGGGGAGCTGTCATCCTTCTGTATTTAACCTCATCATGCTCACTCCACAGCACAAACGTAGCTGTAAATGAGACGGAATGACTTAAAATCATGATATTAGTCTTAATTTGACTAGTTTTTATCATTAAACCTAGATTACCTAACTGGTTTAAACAGATTTGGTTACATATTTCCAGCTAAAATGTAAAACAGGTAGGTGCAATGGTTTTATTCCACTGTTAGAACATTTAGCTTGGAAAAATGTACTGAAAATGACTTGAAATTTTTATATGAATCCTGTCTTGTCAGGTTTAATTTATTCATATATTAGAAAAAAAAATAAAACTGAAATGACTTGACTAGTAAACTAAAATGTAAATCTGATAGGAGAAATGTTGGCTTGAAAAAATTTATTGAAATTTTTCTGTAAATTTTTTCTGGAATATCTTTGATTTATTTACATATTGAACTGAGTTTACTTAACTGGTTTAAGTAGATTTTATTTCTTTTTCAAGTTAAACTATTAAAGTGCAGTTGTTTTGCTCCATCTAACCAGGGACTAAACCAGGGACAAAACTAGTACTAAACCAGGGACTAAATTAGAAGTAAACCAGGAACTAAACCAGGGACTAAATTAGAGCTAAACCAAGGGACTAAACCAAGGGACTAAACCAAGGGACTAAACCAAGGGACTAAACCAAGGGACTAAACCAAGGGACTAAACCAAGGGACTAAATTAGAAATAAACCAGGGACTAAATTAGAACTAAACCAGGGACTAAATTAGAACTAAACCAGGGACTAAATTAGAACTAAACCAGGGACTATACCAGGGATAACTCAAAGGTTATATTGTATTAAAGCTGCATTATGTAACTTGACTGATGGATAGTCCGCCACCTTGTTGTCTGCATGGAGATGTTATTGCTCTGCCTGGAATGTTCCACAGTACAGCATTCACCGCATCTGTCTTTCATTTAAATCAAGTCATGGATTTCTGCTTCCTGTTATATGCAACATTTTGTGGACTTTTCCTCATTCAAAAGATATAATATTGTGTTTTAAATTGTTAATCGCTATGAGCAACCGTCCTATTTTATGTAATTCTAAAACCCATGGATCAAAAAATGAAAAAAAATCCTTGTGGTAAACTACTTGTATAAAAAATGTAAATGTCCCAGCTTCTCAAATCAAGATTCATATTTTGAATTCAAGTCATTTTTAGCTCATGCAGATGCTCTTTTGCAGTGTATTTTTATTTGATTTTATTGACTGTCACTCACTAATAGTGTTATTTTAGGCTCTGATTAATTAGCTGTTTCCTTCTTGTTTCTTGTAGTTGCGGATCCTGTGGGCTTACATCCCTCTCCTAAGCTCCTCACTCTGTCCCAGACGCAGTCAGCGGTTTTCTTCCTGAACAAACTGAAACACAACTCACTACAACGAAGAAAGGTTTGTGCAATGTACATACAAAAGATTAAATATTAACAGCAAGTCAACAGTTATAAAAATACAATGTCCTTCACTAACACTGGCCCATATTTCTTCTGATAAAAGCTATATAGTGATGTGGGGAGCTTTGTGTAGTAGTTTGGGAGACTTTCTGACTAAACCAGGGTCTAAACCAGGGTCTAAACCAGGGCAGAACAGAGGTCTAACCCATGTCTTGTTCAGTCCCTCACTGATTTGGTCCCTAGCTCGGTCTTTGGTTTATTTTTAAGAACTTTTAGTCATACAGATTTTTAATTATACCAATATTCATAAATGGCACTGCATATTTAAACGTAGTATCTGGGTCGCCTTTAGTGCAGATCTAGACTTCTCTTTTCTGTCTCTTTTTAGAATCACATGAATCTGAATAAAACATTCTAATATCTGTCACATGAGAGGCTTCAGTAGCTCACTCAGATCAGATGGTGCTGTGTTAAATTGTTGTTCTCAATAAAACTTTCCTTTTCTCTGCAGGAAAAGTTGGCGTCTCAGAAAAATTCCACTCTGAGAGATAAAACAATGGGGGATGAGGTCAAAGTAAGTTCTGTATGCTATTAAGATGAACACAACAAAAAATATTTTGTTTGTTAGAAAAAAATTCTAGTGAATATTTATGTACTTAATTATTACTGTCTTTCTTACCCAGTTTTGGCTACTTGAAGATATTTCAGGCTTCTGTCATTTCTTATTTGTTCCATATAAGAAGTAGCCTAAAGTGTGCAAATATACTGTATGGCTAAATTGGACATTGATTTTGACTTTTTTTTTTTTTTTTTGACAGGTGGTGAGTGGACCTCCAGAGCCCCTGCCTGACCCTGAGCCTTCCCCAGCCTCACCCCCTCTCCTGGCTTCTGTCCCCGAGTCTGTCCCTGCCTCTGTCCCTGCCTCTGTCCCTGCCTCTGTCCCTGCCTCTGTCCCTGCCTCTCCTCCTGGATCTCCCATTGATCCTGGCTCCCCTGTGGACTCTGGCTCTCTAGCGCCCTCTGGAGAGTGTTACTTCTGTGGACAGAGGGTGTATGTTCTGGAGAGGATCAGTGCAGAAGGGCTGTTCTTTCATCGCAGCTGCTTTAAGTGTCATCCATGTGGGATCACTCTGAGGCTGGGAGGGTACACCTACGACCAGGCCACAGGTGAGGGGTGCTGGAATTCACAATGTGTATCCGTCCATACTTTGCAGCTGATGTCAGGCAACTAACTGGAGGCACTACTGTTTTAGAAGCTCTGTTACTCAAGTTAGACTTTATTCTGAGCTTTTAACACAATCTCACCAAAAAGAACTGACCAAAAAGAACTATAATAACTGAGCTGATTTGTGCTGTTAAACAAGACATGGCTGAGCTAGCTCTCACTCTTCTCAGTATGAAGGTTCCAAGTTTGATCCCCAGGTCACAGCCTTTCTGTGTGGAGTTTGCATGTTCTTCCTGTGTCTGGGTGGGTTTTCCTCTGGGCACTCCGGGTTCAACCCAAACATACCCCATAGTTACGAGCCTCCTAAGGTAGTCCTGACCAAGACTAGAAACAAGATCACTTAGGTGGGTCCCCAGTGGCACATGGGTCATGGAGCACCATGAGGTTCTAGTGGTCCATATGTGTTTGTTAGAACCACAGTCACAAATCTCTAGCTTATATTCATGGGTTTCCGAATGGAAAACTATGACTTGGGAAGGAAGGAATTTGGCTTTGCCTTAGTGTTTAACAGTTTATACCAAAGTATATCTTTTGAATGGGAACGAACTCTCAAAATGCCAGATGTCAACTGGGAACTGAAATCCATATGACTACACATAATTTGCAAATTCACTAATGCTAACAACAGCTTTACAGAAAAACACAAAGTTGTCACACTGTTTTTGAATGTCTTTTGAATCTCAAATCAGTTACTACTGTTAGAGAATCCTGCTATCTACAGAATCCTGAACCTAACTAAATATGGTAGCATTTATCCAAGGCCAGAACCGGACACAGTCTCTTAAAGCTTTTCCTTGTTTTACAGCCAGGGTAACATGACTTTTCTGTGTCTCATATTTTGTGAAGTTTATAAATAATTAGTGAGTGTTTCATTTGAAGTGGGGCATATGCATCTTTCATGATCTAAGAGTATTTTTCTTTTGCACACTGCCACTGACTCTGCCTCCCTGACTATGTCCCTGCCCCTCTCTCTGTCCCTGATTATGTCCCTACCCTTCTCGCTGTCCCTCTCTGTCCCTGACTGTCTCTTTGTTATAGAGCCTGCCTATGTCTCTGTACTGCCTTTTGGCTCTATCTCTATGTGATGTAATGGTTTTAATGGTGCGTGTGTTTTGTTCCACAGGGAGGTTTTTCTGTGAGCTGCACTCTGAAGACCTGGTGACCCCTGCTCTAACCTCATGTCAGGTAGGTCATGTGCAGATACAGTGGGCTACAGCGATACAGTCTGCAGTTATATAACAGCATTTGACATCAGGATAATAGGTGACAGTTCAGTTTTGTTGAATTGCCTGCTTTATTCTTGCCCTCAGCAGCCCATTGAGTCTGGAGTGGAGATAATGGACTAGTCACTTAATTTGTTTCTTAAAGATGCACTATGCAACTTTTCTGGCTGTGGTCTGCTGCATGCCTGTCTCCAAGGGGATTTGGGAGGTAACCACTCCACAGATCCATGGTGTCTCTTTCACCTGCTTGTCCCCTTGGAGATGGATAGCTTTAATACATACTGTGTAACATTTCAGGCAAATTAATAACATCTCCATGGATACTAGCACTATCTGAAAGGTTACATTGTTCACTTTTTAAGTGTTGTAAACAAAGCATTTTGATTTCTGAAGACAGTTGAGAAATACTTGCTGTTGATGCTGCTGTAAAATTATTATGATGTAACTGACTGATAGTTTTCTGTCTTCAAAAGCAGTGCATTTTCAAAACCCTTTTTTGTTGTAATTTCAGGTTCTGGACGATCACAAAGACCCAAAAGAGGAAAACCATCTCTCCAGCGACTACACTCCCTCTCCTTCAGACGAGGAGTACGAGCACACACTGGACTCTGGCCCCTCGCGCCGATCTCTCAAAGCTCCAGAAATCCTCAAAACTGCAGATTCAAACGAACCACAATCAACACTTAGAAACCTCTCCCTCAAAATCAACACAACCGGACCTGCTGAAGAGGAGACTACTTACCCCGTCCCAAAACCACGCTTATCTAAACAGAGCCCCCAAAAGCCAATAGCAAAACCTAGGACAGTTCACCTTGGTAGTAGTAATAGTAACCCATCTTCACCTACAAAAGATGCTAAACAATCTATGAAAAAACTCCAGTTGTCCGATGAGGAGAAGAGCCAGCTGGTTAACTTACAAAACTTTTTTAGTGCCGATTCAGATTCAGAAACTCCATGCGGATCATCATCTTGTTCGTCGTCATCGGCAACGGTAACGAAATCGCAAGGCACGGACGGACAAGAGGAGGAGGGGTACTGGAGCGGGAGTACGGCCAGTAACTTTAGAGAGAAGAGAAACAGACGTTGCTTTAAAAGGAAAGAGATCCCAGGAGGACAGGCCAAATCCAGATCCAAGTTTTCGCCGTGGAATTTGTCATCTCCAAGGATCAGTCGAGACGGGAAGCTCAGTGTCCTCAGTCATCCAGGCACTGTGGGTGAGTGTTTCTCTGTTTTAAATCATGTGCTGTAGCGCTAAACAGTGGTGTAGTAGGTGAAGTATTTATCTATTAACCAGATGGTAGCCAGTTCCGTTCCTGCCGATACATATGAACCTCTCTATGGCTGCGCAATATGGCAAAAAAGAAATAACGAAATAACTTTTTTTTTTCAGGGACAGGTGATATCAGTTTCAGTATTGTTACCAGCTGATATAGATACAGTTTTGTTTTTTTTGTTTTTTCATATCTTTATTGGCCGATATCGACACTTTTTTACTCCCTCATTCTCTGTGTGCGCTTTAACAGATTAATGAGTCAAATTTGAAATAGTGCTCTGAATAAAATTCCTCATTTGAAACATAAATTACAATCTACCGTTAATCAAAATAGCAATGTTTGGCAGAAAAAATTGCTGTTTGATATTTTGCCAGAATTGTTCAGCATTAGTAGACTTTATAGTGTTCGTGTTATAGTTTTAGTTTGAGTGAAGGGAAACAGCTGAGTTTAATGCTAGAGAAATTCCATTTGTGTGCTGGACTGAGCTGGCTGTGAGAGCCCTTATACAGCACAGAAATGGAAGTTCTCTAACACTTAAGTCCTGATTACATGTGCTCTTAATACTCCCACAGAAACCACATTCAGACACGCCCACTGCGCCTCCGAGAATGACGCTGATGACGATGATGAAGACGAAGACGAGATGTTTCAGCGTGACGACCTCGACCTCTTCAATGAGAAGGTAAGAGCCACAATTTGGTAATTTATCAAAGCACACCCAGAAAAACAGGAATGTACTGGACACCCATTTCAACTGGTTTTACATCTAGTTTATGTTTAGCTATGCCTGTCCAGACGAAACCACAGACTTTGACAAAACTTTACAAACATATGTGGGTCTCTCCAATTTCAGATTGACGGGCGGATTAAGCAATCCAGAGCCTTCTGCTTTTGAACAGAATGTAGGAGGGACACGTTTAGCTTCCCTGGAGTAGACAGACCATTACCAACAATTTGCTTGCACAACATTCATGCAACATTATACAAGTGTTTTGCCTATGAACACAAACGGCATCTACAATTTTTATAGCAGTTAAAAAAAAAACATCAGGAAGTTGTTGCAATCTGATTATGTTAAACCAAACCTTCTCATCCCTCCAGTTCCAGTGCTTGCCCTCAGACCCTGTGGAGGCGCAGAAGTTGGAGCTGATGAAGATGAGGACTCTGGAGCGAAGAGCCAAAATGAGCGAACTGCAGCGATTCAGGAAGGCCCAGGTCTGTGTACAGCGCACAATATCATACAGTAAAAGAAGTTTCAATGCACTACACACATGAAATAGGAACACTCAATGCTTTCACTACTGCCCTCTAGGGGTCTCTCCAAGAGAGATCGCTAGATTAGTCAAACATGCATGGATGATATTTAAAACCTCTTTAGCCATGTTTTTGATGAGGGAACAACATTATAACATGGTAGAAAGCTCAAAAACGTCTGCATAGCATTGTGTAACACACTCTATTTAATATTTTGAATGCAGTCAATCCAGAGGAGGCTGGAGGAGATCGAGGTCACGTTTAAAGATCTGGAAGAAAAAGGTGTTCAGCTCGAGAGGAATCTGCGTCAGGAAGATGGTAACGGCAAACTCAGAATTATTGTTATTATTTGTTTAGGTTTGGGATTTTTTTATGTCTGAAGATTTAAAAAATGAGCATATTGTTGCCCAAGGTTCCAGATACCAATTTGAAACATTTCAAATTGAAACAATTTAAACAAGTCTAAATAAAACAGCATAAAAACAATATATTTCACTTAAAAACTTACCTTAAATCAATATTTCCCCTTTGCCTCCTTTAGACAGTTCTTCGGACATGATTGAGCACTGGATCCAGCTGGTGCATGAGAAGAACGCGCTGGTGTCAGAGGAGTCTGAACTCATGGTGGCGTAAGTGAACACAGTACAAGGCTGTCACATTAATGCTGATGCAACTGAGCTTTGTACATACATAGGGATATTTACACGTAATGCTGCACAGTCTTTTAAGAGTTACTCCTTCATTTAGTGGTAATAAAGTTTAAAAACATTGCACTACTTGATGCATGGCCAAACCTCCTTGCCAAAGCCTGATTTTGTCTGATCTCTGAAGCTAAGCTAAGCAGGGGTAGTCTGGTTAGTACATGGATGAGAGACCACTGGGAATACCAGGTGCCACAGTGGGGCGCCAGTGGCAAAAAATCTGTTGTTGTTTCATGGGGCAAGACACATCACCTGTATTGCCGAGTATGAATGTGATGTGTGTGAGTGTTGGTGGTGGTTGAAGGGGCCGATGGCACAGATTGGTAGCCTCACTTCCATCATTCTGAGTGGAGTAAATGTATAATAAAATGTAGAACACTTTGAGTGTCATGAAAGGAGAAATAGAAACCCCTTCAACAATTTTGTTCTTCTCTAAGCAGTGATAAATCAATAAATGTATAATAAAAGATGCTATTAACATGCTGCTAATCCTATATCACACATATTTGACACTATAACATAGGACCATGTAGCAAATATATTACACAATCCATTTTAATGCAAGACACTGACATTTCTAAGCATCTAAGTGTGTCTTGTTTCAGTGTGTCTTTGTGTCTTGCTATCATTGAAATTATGTAACTGATGGATGTTTCCACGCAGCTCTCGTCAGCTGGAGCTGGAGGACAAACAGAGCATGTTAGAGCTGGAGCTGCGTAAATACATGGAGATCACAGGTGAGTCTTTTATTTCTGTGCTTTTATGCTTTTTTATGTATTTATAATTTCAACAGTTGACTATACTGAAATGACTCAGAAAAAAACATAATAAACTATTTGAACATTTTGAAATGTTTAAAAACATTTGTTAAACAACTGTCAAATATGAGACTAATAGCAAAATGTGTAGCCCTATAAGTAGTAACTGAAAGCCTCCACTGATCCACAGCTCCTCATGAAAAATAGGCTTGAGTCACACTAAAGAACACTACAAAACAGGAAACCTCTCAGTCCTGTTTGAGGACATTGTGGACTTAGTTTGGATCAGAAACTCAGAAACTAGTTTAGATGATTTGTAATTTAACGTAGTTGCAATGGCTTCTCTTCACAGACAAAACTCCGGAGCAGGCAGAGGAGGAGGAGCGTATTCTGCAGCAGATGTTGGAGGTGGTGGACATGAGGGACTCTCTGGTGTCTTTCCTGGAGGAGAAGAGACTGAAGGAGCTTAGTGAAGAACAAGAGGCCTTCACCATCAAGGAGGCCAAACGTCACTCCAAAATCAGTGCTCAAGTCAATTGGGAATAACACAAACAGAACTATTCACATGTTTCCATTAAAGTTCTTTGGACACTTGCTATTTATGTATCCCAATGGATTCCAAACTTCTAATACTAAATATACTATAAAATATCTGTATTTCCGAGTACCACCAGGACTAGACCAAGACTAGCACAACCTAAAATTGGCTAAAATCTCTCAAGCTCCAAACATGTTTACGGGACTGTTATTGTGCAATTATAATAAGATCAGACTGAAAACACCACTGGGAACAGCTCATTTAGATGATTCTAATAACAGAACAGAACAAATCATCTGGGACTAAGAACTACACACATCTCAACAGGCTTCTGAGCTGTATTTGAAAGCTCCTGTTCATGCCAAAGATGAAACTGAATGTGAATACTACACATGGGATCACAGACAAGACAAGACAATTATAATGTTTAAATTCACCCTCTAGATGGTGACAAAAACTTGCTTGAGAAGATTACACTGGACAATTACTTTTTTGTATTGTGGTTTGTATAAGTGGCTACAGCAGAACTAAATCTCCAGCTTTATACAAAAAAAAACATAGACTACTTTGGGGTTTCAGTCATCTCCTTGCCAAAAAAACAACTTTGAATTCAGCCTCTAGGGGGTGACACAAACCTGGAGAACATTACACACTGGATAAGAGCCGTTTTCCATTTTGGAAATAGCTTCAGCAGGACCAACATATCTTCAGCTTTGCAATGGAATACAAGGGACTACATTGGGATTGGAGTTTGAATCCATCCTCCAGAGGGCGCTACAAAGCTGGAGAAAATTGCACATTGGGACATTTTCTTTTGTGGATGTGTCTCCAGCTTTACAATCGAAAATTGCTGTAGTCAACTTTCTATTTGACTATTATGGGATTGCAGTGTTCTGTCCAGACTTGAAAATATAAACAGGTAATTTAATTTATCCTCCAGGGGTGACAAAAACTTGAAAAATTTGACACTGGACAATAGCCATTTTCTATATTGGACACAACAGCAGAACCAACAAGTCTGCAGCTTTATAATGAAGAACTGTGACTGCTTTGATATTACAGTCTTCAGTCAGGATTTAAACATGAAAACTAGTTTGAATCCATCCTCTACGAGGCGCTAACAACCTGAAGAACATTATACTTTGGAAAATAGCCTTTTTCTATTGTGGTAGCTACAACAGAGCCACTATGTTTCCAGTTTTACAATGGAAAACATGGGACTACTATGGGATTTTCTTGTCTTCTTGTGGAAAAAAAAGTTTGAATCCAGCCTCTAGGGGGCTACAAACTTGAAGAAATCTACACACAATGGGGAATAGCCTTTTTCTATTGTATTGTATTGTATTGTACAGCAGAGCCAATATATCTGCAGCTTTATAATAGAAAATATGGACTATTATGGGATTGCGATCTCCAGTCCAAACTTGAAAACAAAAATAAATTGACTGTAGGGGGCGCAACAACCTGAGAAAAGCTTGATAAATGCAGATTTGCCTTTTGCCTGTTGAAAAGATGGAATGTTTTTAAGATATAAACTTGGAAAATAGATGGATTGCTTCACTGTGGTCAGTAACTTAAGTCAAAACATTTCATTTGAGCCTGATGTGGGTTCAGTTTGCTATTGTTTACTTGTGCCATTGCGCTATTCAAATGCACTGTTGCCCGCAAATCCAGAAAATTTATGGTGGTCGCTCCAGATCAAATTTAATCCCAGCAAATAGGGAAAAGAGATTATATTTTTGCTTGTGTATCATAAAAATATAAAGTTGTAAAGTAATTTCCTAAAAGTAAAGTACTTAAAGTAATATGAAAATTAGGACTGCACAATATTGTAAATTTTTACAACTTGCTATATAGCTGTTAAAGTACTGTGATTATCAATATTATTGTAGTATTTTAATGTATGTAAGAAAAATCATTTATAAAATTCAGTCTTATTTACAGCTTTCATAACAAATGTGTTGCAATACCAAGAATTTTGCAATATATTGTGTAGCCCTAATGAAAATACTACATTGTCTTTAAAGTATTGGGATTGTAGACATTTGCAAATGTGGCATACCATGGGTCTTAAACTTATACCATTATGTATTTTCAAATATTTGGACTTCTGAGTACCACCAGTAATAGACAAAACAGTAGTGCAAACTAAAACTGCCTGAAAACTGGATTAACTTGTAAACCAAGCCTGGATCCAGGACCAGTGTAAGTAATATTGTGCAGTTATATAGGAATGGATTGAAAGCACCACTGGGAACAAAACATTTGAATTTTCGATGTTCGCAATAGCATTTTATCCTAGTTCTCATTCATGTTTACTTGTTGGGATGGTTCATCAATGACACCATAGACTCCTAATGTGGGAATTACTGTTTAGATTTCATATGTTTAAAAGTTATATTGAGACATTTGTTCTAGAAATTGAAGAGGGAATTATTTAAACAGATGTGTTATTATAAAAGATATTATTAAAGATCCTATATTATGCATTATTCAAGCAATTTGAACTGGTTTTTGGACACTTAAAGGTGCATTGTGTAACTTTTCTGGTTGTGGTCCGTGACCTTCTTGTTTCTGTGGATTTGTCATTGCTCTGCCTTGAATGTTCCACAGTATGACATTAAATAGCTCTACAGTACATTTATCCAATTACAGGTGGTTTTATAGCTCAAAATACCTTGAAAAACAGGCATTCTGACTGAGCGGGGTCACCTCTCCACAGATCTGACCTGTAACTTGGTCTGGTTTTGTCTCTGTGATGATAGAAAGGTTTAATACCGGTCCGTGTACCATTCGTTCTTTAGAATTTTTCAATTAAGAATGAGAACAATAAAATAGGAAAACAGTTTGTTATTTCATTATTCCATTTCAGTGTCCACAAAAAACAGATTTCGACCTTTATTTCCAATATTTAATTTAAAGTTTATTTCAAATACGACCAGTCAAAAACCAGTCTCAGTGCCTATTTAATGTTGATAGTTTATTCTCTCTGGTTTATATGTATGGCTCCCTGGTGCCAGATTCGCTCAAGGCCTTGTGCTGGTTTGATCTTAAACATATTGATATTGCAAGTAATCAGTATTCACAAAAATAAAAATGCAATGCAAAGTTCTCCATATGAATAGAAATTAAGAGTGTTTTTGAAAGTGGATGCAAAAATGGCAGATTTTATTCAGTTTACTTATTATGAAGGCCTTTAACCCAGTTTGGTCTTGGTGTAAATTTTAATTTTGCTCAACTCATTGTGTCAAAACATTTAAATATTGCTATGATATAGTTCACGATACAACATATAGTTCTCAAATATCGTTATCTCATATCATGCGGCCTTTATTATAAAATGTATCAGACTACACATTGCACTCAAATTTTTCTGTGTAAGGCTGCATGATAGTTTGGTGTTCATATATAATACATTATATAATATGCGGCCCCTGACCAATGCTGATTTTATAACTTCTGCCTCTGGTCCAATTGAGTTTGATGTCCCTGATCTAAAACAACTTAATGAAAGAAACACAGTTCACTGACTTCCTGTGGTACCCAGCGGGAGTTGATGTCATTGTAAACATCAACACATCAAAGAGTAAGCACCTCCTTTGGATAGCGGCACATCACATTAGAGAATAGCAGATTTAAATAAATAAATAAATAAATAAAAGTATGTGGTGCTGCGGAATACATGTGTCACCAATTAAGAAAATAAAATGGGAGAACAAAGCAAGTATGTCACAGTGGGCGTGTGCTGGTGGTTGGAACAATGACATCTTGAATACAGGATGAAGATGATTCAAACGTGCACAAATGACTCCAAATACAACTTAGAGAGGGTCAGTGAGAAGAAAAATATAACATGGTTATATTTTCATGGTCTGAAAAGTCGATTTTGCAGAACAGGTCTGCAGCTTGTAACATTCCAGAAGTGGCACATCACCGACATCAGAGGTACTAAGTTGGCGGACTCCGGTCAGGACCCAAACACAATGACAGCCGGACCGAGACAAAAATCTCTCTTTCTAGCCTTTTTTTCATAGCGTTCCGGATCCACGCGATATTTCATTGGCATGTGCTTTTTGGATGTGTTTCCCTATCAAAAAAAAAAAAAAAAAAAAGCATAATGAAGAAGAAGTAACATATAAGTTGCACAGGCCTATAAGTGGCACTTTTTTAGGGAAATGTATTTTATCAAATCAGAGACCAACAACACACATTTTATCTTGAAAGGCAAGTTATAGTAATAACAATAGAATAGAGAACAACAGGCCATTAACATAAGATATTAAGTTATTCAGATAGCCATAGCATAAACAACATAACATCACAAGTTTACCTAAATGCACTGAATTTTTCACCCTCGGTGTCACTTCTGAGCAACTCTGCAACGTCCAGAGGTAAATTATTTTAATAGATCCATGGGTAAAGGGAACGCCGCTTCCTCTTCTGTGTAGCTGTCGTCAGACTCAACATCAGTTCCAGTTAGAATTATTCCAGCCTTTCTGAATCCCGACAGGATGGCTGTCAGTGAAGTCCAGGCTTTATCCATCCAATGACTTCCAGGAAAATTGCATGGCGCATCCTCCCGGTAACTGTGAAGCTGTCTTTAGCCAGTCCCTCACAAGTTTCTTGCTCACTCCAAACTTTCTTTCTGCTGCTCGATTACAGTTTTAAATGTTCAGTGGGCCAGAAGTATTGGTGCGATCGACTGACATGATCGAAACAGAAGAGCGGCTCTGCAGAGACCAGCGCAGTGACAGTGGTACAGGAGGAACGGGAGCAGAGCGCCCTTAGCTTAGCTTTGCTAAAGTAGCCATTTAGCTAGTGTATTTAGTATTTATCTATCTTGTAGTGTATTTAGTACTTTGCGCATAGTTCAAATGTTCCATGTGAATTCACTACATTCTTTGTTAGAAGTTTTACGTTTGGAGATACACGGTGACTTCTGGTAAGTGGACCTTTTGAGTTTGTAATTGAGTAGGAGAAGAAGCACATACTGCACAGACGTACGTGAGCGTTGTACGTAAACGTTGTGCGGCGCTGCTGTTGCTAAGTGCATCTTTTGACTGATGCACGCTCTCTTGCAAACTTTGCAAACCTTGGCTGTGATCGAAAACTTGTATCTGACAACTTAAATCGACGATTTCTGAAAAGAAGAGGCACAAGTCCGACAGAATTTCACCCAGACTTTGGCTGACAACCTCCTGCATCGGACTACGAGACGTTTCTGAGGAACACGTGAGGTTTGTCACTTTTCTGGTTCATAGTCCTTACGGGTTTTCATCGTGTTACTGAAAAAGCAATCATTAGCTCAGCAAATGCGCCTTTATGGATGTCTAGACCATGTTTATAGTATATTTATTCCAAGAAATGTGAGCTCTTGTGCTTCTAATCTCCTAAATATCTGCTGTAGGTGTCATGGTTTTTCCACTGACTCCACCTAGAATGAGTTAGGTTCCAGTGGTCACTTAACTGACCACTGACTCCAACTAGAGTCTAATAATAGGGTGACTATAGTGAGACGATACATGTAGAAAAGCAGCCTTAGCAAATAAAACATGTATTGAGGTACTAGAGGAGAACTCCTGCTGCTTTTGTTGGAACATTATAGTTAAGCATGCAGGCCTTTTCCCAAATGGTTCAGGCTAAAATTCTTTTTTAAAGATACACCTGATTTTCTTGGACTCTGACAAAATAAGATTACACATCACCTCGCAATCCCTACAGTCCACTGTATTGATCAATTTAAATCTGCTCATACCTAGAATTTAGATCCCAAATTCTACTAAGTATACTGACAAGTCTTGAATTTTCAATAGAATTCCCTTCACAGGTTGACAGTATAAATGTTATAACTTACATGACAAGTTCCACATGTCAAATGAAAGCATATGTTGAGCTAAATTAAAGATGCACCATGAATAGTCCCCAAATGAATGGGTATGTTCATAGATTGGTTTAAGTGATCTCCAATCAGTTGGGGTCTTAGAAGTTGTCTATACAACAAACAAAAAAGAGCTTAAAGTCATATTTACCTAAGTTTAATCATAATATAGTCTACTACTTTTAATACTTTATGACTAATACTTTTAATACTTTTTATTTATAATGAAGTACAGTTGTTTAAATATGTAAATATAAGCTGTTTTAACTGTCAGCAGCTTGAATAATTATCATGATGTAATCATTAATCACAGTTATTTTCGCCATAATAATTGCAACACCAAATTTGAATATGGCCCCATGTCGAGTGTTAATTGAACTCTTTATGTTCTCAGCTCTGGTTTTAAGATGTGAGCTCTGGTAGCACTGGTGTTTGACACATTCTGTTCCTCTCCACAGATCCGGGTTGTCCTTGGCCCGCTGATCCATCAGGCGTCCAGACGTCCTGCACAGGACCCCGGCTCTTGCTCTGAGTCCTCACACACACAGACACACACACACACACAGACATACAAACATTACAAACTCCTGCCTCCACAATGCCTCCTCCTACTCCTCAGCTCAGCTTTTCTGTCCTGCCTTCTTCCTTTGTTTTTAGTGACCCGGTGTTACCCCCTAGGTCTGTGCCTGCTGCTCCCGCTGCTGCTGTGCGCCCTACGCTCGCCCCTGCTGCCCGCCGCCCTGTGCCCGCCGCTTCTGCTGCCCGCCGCCCTACGCCCGCCGCCGCTGCCCGCCGCCCTGCGCCCGCCGCCGCCGCTGCCCGCCGCCCTGCGTCCCCCGCCACTGCTGCTCCCCTCCGCCCTGCTGCTGCTGCTGCTGCTGCCCGCCGCCCTGTGCCCGCTGCTGCCGTCAGGGGCCTTCAGATAATCCCTCGCCCTGACGCTGTGCTTTCTGGTTTCAGGCGTCCTCACTGTGCTCCTCTGCCTCAGAAGCGCCCCGCTTGTGCCGAGCCCGCTCGCCCCGCGAAGGTTCCGAGGCTTTCCTCCTCTTCTCCTGCCCCTGCCCCTCTTCTCCCGCTGCTGGAGCTGGACGCTGCCCGCCTGTTCCCTGGACCTAGGCCGGACTGGGTGGTGCAGATGGAGGACTACCTGGAGGAGCGCAAGAAGGACTGGGAGGACAGGACAAGGTCAAGTGAGCCACAGAGGCCATTTGCTCCCCAAAGACACAAGTACTCCTTTTATTTTAAGAACTGATCCTCTTTCTGTTTGTGTTTCAGTCACAGAAGAGGATCTGGAGTCTTGCTGTTAAGGGTGACACATCACTTGTTAAACAGCAAATGCAAACAACAAAACAAAAAAACATTATTATTATGCTGTACATAGTTTGGTGTGAACAATTTTTAAATAGGTTTTGTGTGGTGTAATTTTTATGTTGTAAATAGTTTGTTGTGTGTTTTAATGTGAACATTTTTAAATAGGTTTGTGTGGTGTAATTTTTTATGTTGTAAATAGTTTGCTGTGTGTTTCAGTGTGAACATTTTTAGATAGGTTTTGTGTGGTGTAATTTTTATGTTGTAAATAGTTTGCTGTGTGTTTTAATGTGAACATTTTTAAATAGGTTTTGTGTGGTGTAATTTTTATGTTGTAAATAGTTTGCTGTGTGTTTTAGTGTGAACATTTTTAGATTTCATTTTAAGCTCCTTAGCTAGGCTCTTGCACCTTCTCCATGGATAAAGGAAAAACAAACAGTGGGAAAACATGAAAAGGGATGAGGAAAATGTTGGAGTGATAAAACAATATACAGTACAGGTAAGTTTTTATATTGATAGTATTAAATTATTGAAGTACAATACATTTATTTGTCTGTTTTTCTTCCAGTGAGATGGGCCTTTACAGTGCAGACTGTGGAGAGGAGGAGTGGAGGAGGAGGAGGCTTAAATCCATATTGTCATACAAAATACAGGTACACTGGAGACGAGTATGAATTGTATTTGTCCCTCCTCCGACTATATTGTACATTTGCACTTGGTTTTCATAGGGACAGAAATGGGACACGTGTCAAAGCAAAGAAGCCAATGTGAAAAGAACACAAGATCATACAGTATGTCTGGCTCTTTTGGACATTTGAGGATTCAGTGGGAAATCAAGATATGCACAGGGCCTCTTGTTCCAGAGCCCTCCCCGAGGTCCGGGCTGGGTCTGGAGGGCTGCTGAGGTCCTGGGGTGGGACTGTCGCGTGTCCAGCTCAAGAGACAAAGCACCATGGCCTGTGTTCTCTCCATGCTTCTCCACGACGACCCGTGTGCTGTGCACCAACCTGCAGGAAACACCTCTGATGTCCCCTGTATCCCCGAGTAACAGCCCCTCAAAGTGACAAAAAAAGAATATACAGTACAGGTAAGTTTTTATATAAATTTACAGTATGAAGTTGTTGAAGTACAGTACATTTATTTCTCGTTTTTTTTTCTTACAGTGAGATGGAACTTTAGACTGCAGGCTGTGGAGAGGAGGAGGATTCTATCCATGTTATACAAAATACAGGTACATTGTCTACAACAATGAATTGCATTTGTCTCTCTAAGTATATTATATATTTGTGTTTTTTTTTTTTTTTTTTTGTGTTCCCAGAGTCTGCCTGAGGTCCAGGCTCAGGTCGTGTGTCCAGCTCAAGAGACAAAGCACCATGGCCTATGTGCTCTATATTCTGCATGAGGACCTGTGTGCTGTCCACCAACCTGCAGGAAACACCTCTGATGTCCCCTGTATTCTAGAGGAACAGTCTCCGAAGCAACACTGAACCGAAACAACACGTGTGGCAACTGAATGACAGCACACATTTTTCCTGTTGTTTGGGACTTAAAAACAGGACTGTATGACAAATATATTGGACAAAATGGTGAGTACTGATTCATTATTACCACATTACTTTACAGAAAAATAATACTTATTTCTTTTCTTTTGAGCTTCCAACATTAGGCAAGTGTGATCCTGCAGAAAGAGAGGAGGGAGGGAAAACACTGAAGGTAACAAAAGCAAAGAATATTTAGTAGAGGTAAGTTTTTTGTTTATAGTATTGAATTATTGAAGTACAGTACCTTTACTTGTCTTTTTTTCTTACAGTGAGATGAACCTTACAGTGGGGGCTGTGGAGAGGAGGAGTGGAGGAAGGAGGCTTATATCCATGTTGTCGTACAAAATACAGGTACACTTGAGAGTTCTATGTATTGTATTTGTCCCTCCTCCAATTATATTGAATATTTGTGTTTTTTGCACAAGGTCCAGGCTGGGTCAGGAAGGAGGCTGGTGTCCTGAGGTGGGACTTCAGTGTGACTAACTCACAACAGGTAAGTTTTTTATATTTATAGTATAAGTTATTCAAGTACATTTATTTGTGTGTTTTTCTTCCAGTGAGATAGTACTGTGGAGAGGAGGAGGGGAGGAAGGAGGCTTATATCCATGTATCTTATATCCAGGGACAGAAATGGAAGGCCACTGCCAAACGTGTCAGTGATATTCAGGCTTTATCGGTGCCTCTGTCTTGTATGCGATTCAGCTCTATTAATCTCCGAGTGACCCTGCACCCCATTTCGGCCTTTATTGCAAAACTGGCTGACGCCTGTAAGTGGATGTGGACACTTTTCAGCCACCTTCCCACACTTCTGCTGAGCAACAGCATTCACACAGGTTGTGCCCTGTCCGAGCGGCGCATGGCATCCTTTACCAACACTGTAATGCTACACAACACAGTGAACACAAGGCCCTGGGAAACCTGAACATTTTCCTTAAACACCATAATGTAAGTACTGTAATGCACTGTCCTTACGCACAACTCATTTGTAAGTGCATTCATGGTGGACAACAAAATGTATTCTATTTAATTGTCTTCTGGTTTGTTGTCTTCTTAGATTCAGGAGTAGGACCAAGCCTCAACCTCCCCCTGCTCCTCTCCAGCAAACCAAGCTCAGCTCAACCACACCTTCAATTACCCAAAAGCCCTATTTATACAGGCCTATCCCAACAACACCGCCTGTCTCTGCTCTCTCGACCCCCCTCCCTCCCACCCCGTACCTCTCGTTCATCCTTCAGCCTGAAGACCTCATAATCTACAAAGGGAGGGTCCTAAATCGGTCCGGCTGACCACCTGAGACAGAGCCCCCATCCAGAGTCTCCTCCCAGCCATCACATCTCGCCATCGTCAAGAAATATCTTTACCATATTCCATTGTTGTGACGTGGTCCTTGCTAGTGAAATACAACTGTGTGTCTGAATATGAAGACTTTCTGTCTGATATTAAGTCACGTGTCAACCGCCCCAGCCTAAACTTGACCTCAACAAGCTGATAAGAACATTCGCAGCCAACAGCATAAGCAATGTTTACTCTTGTATGTCGTATTTGAATAAACCCTTATTTATTCAAACTATTTAACTTGCCTTCAGTTATTCCACTTGTATTATTTTTTTTTTCATTTTAGTTCTAGCTGAAGATAAGAAATATGTTTGCATGCATAATCTAGTTGTTTTTGCATTTCTACCATCAGATGCCACCAAAAGATATTCAAACTCCAATAAATGTAATAGTTGCAATATTCTTATCATAGGCCTACTGATCCAGAATCAAGATACTGATTTCCTCCTCTACCAGCCATAATAAAGCTGTTCTCCTGAGTGCGGAGCGTGCTGATGCAAGTACAGAGGTTTCAACACACAAACTGCATATTTAGGTTGAGCATTGTGTTTTTAAACTCCACATGCCTTCAGTTGAATCATTTGGATAATTTCAGTTCTGGGATTGCCTTTCTCCAGTGAACTAAAGGTAAAAGGTAGCCGTTAACATGAAAAATATAGCTTCATGACATCACAAGGTGGAACAGAGCAGTTTGAGCTTTGGAAATGTAGACAGACTAATAATAAAGGGTTACTCAGACGTGTGAATGAAACAAAACACAAGTCAAAGTATGTTTTTGAAGAGGTAACAACATTCATTTAACATGGTTTAAAGCTCACAAGAGTCAATTTTGCTCAATATAGGACCTTTAATATGTTTCAAATTATTTATCCATCTTTTTTTATTATTTGTGTTAATTTATTTTCTTCTGTTAAGTGCAATTAGCCAGGTGTATGAACTAGTAAGTAACTAAATGGTTAAATAGTATATTATTTGAGATATAAAGCAATGATTAGCCTAATTTAAACAATTCAAAAGGCATACTCTTATTACATCAGAAAAAAATATAGACTAACAGTTATGTAGGTCAACAATGCTCAAATCACAACGGTCATTCTGCCTTCAAATCTTATTAACATTTTTTGCCGATAAAGATGATAAAACCGTTTTTCCTACCCGGCACTCAAAATGTTTCTTCTTTTAATATGAGAACATTTTCATATGAATGAAATCTCACTCCGTGGATGTCTCGGTCTGATGTAATATTCAGAATCGCGAGGAGCTGCACATTTTTGGCAGTGAGGATTCAGACTCAAGTCAATCACATGTGTGCTCTGAGTTGAAGAGCAAGTACAGGCCTCACGCTGGTTTTCAAACACAGGCCTAGGAGTTTATTTTCTGATTAATATGAGACAAATGAGAAGGAAACCAGTAGTTAGTTTCATTATTTCATTGGTGTAGGAATAGAGTACATAATTCCATCAGAGAAAGTTACATGGAAGAGTGCTCATATTCTTAAAAAAAGTTTAAGTTGTTTATTTTGGATTTGGGCAGCTGGAACATACTCTAGGGCAATGGAGTAGATGGGTGTAACAATATTCAATCTGATGCACTTTACACATTATTTTTAGTACAATTCAGGCCTTATAAATGATTGAACTACACACTTTTACACTTGCACATCTAATAAGTGAGAAAACGTTATCAGTTTTATCAACTTTTATCAACTTTTTCATAGGCAAAATCAGACAGAGCTTTGCAGAGTGCAAGTGCACCAAATTAAAGCAAAGATTGCAATTTTAGAATAGTCAAAAAAGTAGTTATTTAACTTTTTCTCCCTTTGCTACATAATTCCATATATCTTACTTCACATATTCCATATATTTTGTGTATACAAAATGTAGAATCTAGAAAGTAGTAAAAGTAAAGACAAAAAAACAAAAAAACAAAAAGAAAAGAAAACATTGAATGAGATGGTGTGCCCAAACTTTTGGCAGGTAGTGTATAAAATATAATGTAAAATAACAGGCCTATAATGTTGCACTTCAAAATCAGCAAAATTTAAACTCAGTACTATATGAATGATTTGGTGAACCTTTAAAAATGTTTGAAGAAGTGAAGAATGGAGGCACTAGTTTGAAGGTGTTTGCACAGGTAAAGAGAAATAGCCAGAATAACATAAGACAGCGTAACAGATGTAAGAATTAGAAAATGTGTGCAACAAAAAGTCAAGTGAAAAGCGGCCTTCTGTACAGTGGCCCGTGATCCTGTAAATCCAGAATTAAAGCCAATTGTCAGTTTATGTGGGGCCATTGAGTGAAATCAGTGTCGCAGCTTTTGGCTGATTTGGAGCTAAACGTAGGTACTGGAGGGATGAGCGATGAGCTAATGATGTAACACGTTTGATATTGTGAATGTGAATCACTTGAAAGGGCTTATATTGTGGTATTTTCTGATGCACGTTCTAAGGTTGCTGGAGTTGTTTTGTTTGACTGACACATGTTTAACACACAAAGCCTGCACATTCAGACCGAGTTGAGACTCTGGTCCACCTTCTGTTGTCATGTGGTAATACAGGAAGTGCTCCAGTGAGTTTTTAAAGTCCATACACCTTGACTAGAATGATTTGTTATCATTTCAGGCCTGGAAGTGTCAGCCTCTGTTGAACTAGACTTAGAATTACACTTACAGTTAAAAAAAAACTTTATTGATCCATAAGGGAAATTCCTTGGACACAGTAGCTCACACATCACAGTATAATATCAAAAGAGAAATGGTAATATGAAAAATATCATCAGACCCATTTGGAACCTGGAAACTCTGTACATTTGGTAAGTGGACCTTTTCAGTTTGTAATTGAGTACTCCTGACCTACAGTACATGATTCCATGGAAAGAGAAAGCTTAAACTAGGGATGCACCGAACCAGCAGTTCCAATACCGATTCTGATACTATAGTTTTAAGGTTCTGTCAGTTCCCCTTATCAATGGATACCAGAGCAGAGACTGAAAATGGCATTTATTTCCTTTAAAGCACAAATAAAATGAGACAAAACTCATATTATGTAGCTGTATAGAACTACAGAACTACTATGTACATTAACATCATGAGACTATTCAATCAATTTATCCAACCAGGATATCAACTGAACAGATATTTGGAAGCCAATATCCGATCCAGAATTATTTTTCAGTATCGGTGCAGATATCCAATACCAGTATCATATCAGTGCATCCTTAAAACAATACTTTGGAACATTCTCCATGAAGAAATCAATGTTTTATGGAATAAAACCAAAAGAAAACAACATTTTCATGGAAAGCCAAATACAAGTCAGGTTTGTGGAGATGCATGCCCGGCACAAGGTTGTCTTTGCACAGTGCACAGTGCACTAAAAACATCCAAAAAGAACAAACATGCTTTTTATTTTAGTCTAGTTAAAACAAAACAAAACAAACAAAAAAAAAACTTACATAATGGGGCTTTAAGTGATAATTCTTCCACATCATGTTTTGGTTTATTTTTGTTGTCTAATGTTCTCTGCAGGTCACAGCAAATTGAACTGAAATGTGTTTTTAATGCCGTGTTTCCTCTCACAATAATCCCGACTAAATGGATAATTAAACAAGTCCAGTGGTCACAGAAAGCTCTGGTTCAACACTGCAATTATCTAAAGTGGAGAGCGTTTTGTTCTTCACTAATATGAGCTTTACTCATTTGTATTGTTGGGAATAGGCTAATTTTTCACTCATTTCACACTAATTTAGTGCAATTATCCAGAATTATTTTCACAACTCCAGAAACATGGTGGGTTGAAATGTTGGACCTGGTTTGGACCTGTTTTAGTCTTTGAACACTTTAACCCTGTTTTAGTCCTGGTTTATTCCTGGTTTATTCCTGGTTTAGTCCTTGTTTAGTCCTGGATAACCCTGTTTTAGTCCTGGTTTAGTCCCGGTTTAACCCTGGTTTAGTTCTGGTTTAGTCCTGGTTTAGTCCTGGTTTAAGCCTAGTTTAGTCCTGGTTTAGTTCTGGTTTAACCATGGTTGAGTCCTGGGTTATTCCTGGTTTAGTCCTGGTTTAACCCTGTTTAGTCCTGGTTGAGTCCTGATTTATTTTTGGTTTAACCCTAGTTTAGTCCTGGTTTAGTCCAGCTTTGGTCATGATTTAGACATGTTTAAATTCATATTAATTTCCCATTGTTCAGCAATTTTATAAAGGCTCATTGCGTAACTTTTCTAGTACACTGCAGGGTTGTCTCCATGGATATGATATTTTTTTTTTGCCTGAAATGTTCCCCAGTATGGCATTTAACAAATCTATCCAGCATGTATTTCATACAGTGTGGTTTTACAAAAAAAACATGCATTCATACTGTGATCATGGTCACCTCTCCACAGATCTGACCTCTTCTCCTGATTGAGTTTCCTGCTTGACTCCACAGAGACTGATAAATGTAGTGCTATACTGTGGGGCATTCAAAGCAATAACATCTCTGTAGAGACAAGCAAATGGCGCCTTCCTCCAGAAATGTTCCACAGTGCCTCTTTATGTGCTCCTGGTTGAGATCATGGTTACATAAGGCATTAAACAGCTCCTGATCCTTTTAGAGCACAGGCCTAATCTCATTCAAACTAATGTACTTGTAAAACTGTCTTAAGCCTTTGTTTTCCTTCATTTGAATTTTTATCCCACCAATCTTCCCTAAATCAAAGCTATGATACTAAAAGTCTTTGTTAAACCACTTCATGTGAAAAGTTCATATGAAACACAAACATTTTAATCATCAAAACAGTGAATATGTCAAATGTGTTGCATAAATGAGTTTTCTTCCTTTAAACAAGTAACAAAACTGTAGCTGTAACAAAATAATTTAGTAAAATATACCAAAAAATACTCTTGGTGATATATTGATACAGCAGCCCACAATATTGATACTGTATCATCACTTTAAACGATACAATATATCGATATTTCAATATTTTTGCACACCCCTAGTCATATGTATTTGGGCTGACAGCTGGACAACAGACTGGACTGGTCTGAGAATACAGATCTGCTCTACAGAAAGGAACAGAGCAGGTTGTATTTTCTCAGAAGACTGAAGTCCTTTCACATCTGCCAGAAGCTCCTGTTGATGTTTTACCACACAGCCATCTCCATTGCCCTCTTCCATGTTGTGA